GGCATAGGCGTAACAGCTTATTGGGACACAAACCCCTTTCATGGTTAGAATTTCTTTCCCATTTTGAGGATAGACCAGCCTTCCAGAAATAACAGAAACAATCATCGCTGTAGATTCTTTCCAAGACTTGCATTCAACAATCACCCCCAAAATATCCAATGTTGATATAACTTGGGAAGAGCTCCTGTATAGTAAATAGGAAAAAGAACAATGAGAAAAAGAATAGTTAAGGCAGAGATCATGATGAAGTAATTGAGAAATTGTAACTTACCCATTTATATGTTGCAAAGTTGCAGAAATTTTGCGCACTTTGAGTCTAATGGAGCACGTACATATCTTACCGGTCGCACTGGGTCTTCTTGGCGATGAAGAAAGAGGGTGAAACTTTGTTGCCTCGTGTATATCCTGCAGTAAAAGAACAGTTACTATGATGTTGCGTAGTATTTTGAAAGTCCAATGGTATTAAATGTTACTAAAATACCTTGACAACTTCATCGGAAACAACACCAGAAAACTGAGTAGAATCCTCTGTGCCTCCGGCACCGAGCATTCCCCGGGACAACCAGTTCAACCACCCACGCGACTTATTTGATGTAGGATCATCACTCTGTTCCTTTTCAGATGCACTCTGTTCCTTTTCGGAGCCAGTGGCACCACTTGCTGTCATGTTTACAGTCAATTCTGAACAAGCTTCCTGCATAATAAGAATCAAAAAACAAAAGGCAAAACGGAAAATAAGAAAATGCCAGTGGCACGACATCAATTTATTTGTTATAAGAAGATAAATATCTGGACAACCTCTCTTTCCATATATAAAATGCTACAACAGCAACCTAATTTACCATACCTGCATCTCACCTTCTGCGGCAGACCTATAACTTAAGATATCATCAATATCAGACTTCTTCTCCACTTCTTCCAAACCCAAAAGGATAGCTTCATCGATTGACTGCAGGCAGAGGCATAAAGCCCACCCATATTAGTGAAGAAACAACTTGACAAGGAAAACTATGGTTTGAAAAACTACAGAAGAAACAGGCATTACATCAACTCATCATCAAGTTAGAAACCCTACGAATTAGTTGAACAAATATGTCCAGCGTAAAGCATATTAGCAACATACGATGGAGACTAAGGCAAGGCACCAAAAAGTTTAGGGAAGAGAACTTATATTTCTTTCAGCTAGAAATTTACGAACACGTGAACAACTACATTTTCCATGATGACAAGCTGCTATAGAAAATAAAGATTTTCAAGATGTGAGAAAAAAGAAAAACTTTCTTCACTTTCCTTTTTTAGGGAAGCGAAAAGAAAATCCTTGCCTGTTCTCTGCGAAGGAAATCTAGCTTTATCTTGTAAAACTCTATATATCTCCTGCGCATTCTCCTGTATTTTTTTCACGAAACAAAAGTCTGAAAACTAAGCAGACCGCTTGAATATATGGCACGAGTATTTTTCTACCTATGCCATGAAACAGTAAGTTATTTGCATGGAAGTAAAATAAATTATGCAGAAATTTTAAGAGCAATAAATAGATTGTAATTGCTAATGTGATTAAGCATCATCTAATCTTAAAATGAAAAGATGTCAAGAAAGTAAACTTACATTCGCTGTCCAAGAAATCTCCACGAAGTTTTCCACAGTTTCTTCCGTACATCAGATAAAATTGAATTTTGGGCATAATGCCACCAGAGTTTCTGCCACCCTGGTGGTTTCCTCGATAGGGAACTGAAGCAGGGACGATACCGCCCATACCTACACCATTTAATATATTCTTAAATCAATAATTCTTCGAAATGTCCGTATTGCCAAATAATAGAGCTAAATCTTAGAATGATAAAAGTTTGGATGGAGGAAAAATTATCACTACCATAATGAAAGGCTTTACCTCTCACGCAATTGGCTGGTTTGCAAGTAATCTAACAGAATAAGAATTTGCTGCAACTGAAATTCATTCAGAGTCATGTCCTGAAACGCATAAGTGGAAGTTAGAATGAGTATCTTAGTTCTTAACCAAGTCTAACTTCTGAGAACTAACCACATCAGTCAACTCAGCGCTGATAGAATACTGAGGTAGATCGTCATAAAGCTCTCCAGATCGATTGACCTATGCAAAGAAGTGCATCAGGCAAAATAAAGAATGCATATTTTACACAGACCACATAAATGCACCTAAGGATTAACTGATGCACATACATCAATGTGCGTTCTGTATAAATATCTGCAAAATCTTTCACAAGATATAATGTCCATATGGAGCTGACGATGAACAATAATAAAATTGGCAAAAATGCAATGCAAATCATTCCTGGCAACGCTGATAGATAGCAATGTTATCAAAAGTGCACTATAGGAACAAATAAATGAGTTCAGCCTGGAACTATGTGCTAGCTTATCACAAAAGGAATTGGCTTCTTAGACACTAATCAGACTGAAAAAATTCTATAAGCCATCAGGTAAATCAAGAAATAAAGCAGATAGAACATACAACTGTGTGCACCTCATTTTTAATATAACCCTAAAGCTAGAGCAAGCATGCAGCAACAAAGCTTTGACGATAGCGACAGATGTTAAATCACAACAAACTAATGACGCTCTTCTAGCTGCATTACCAATAGTGTTACACAAAAATGGACTGGCTTCAATAAATAACCAAATTTATCGCTTTGCAATCTCGACTGGCACCAGTTGTCAAAACATCCTTTTTTATCAACACTTCGAAAGTCCATGTTTCCCTCATACATGTCGCAATAAATTTCCAAAGCTTCAATCTCCACAAGTTTATTCACTTGCCCCCCTCTCATCCTACCAACTGATGGCCTGAAATTCAACATATACGCCATGTGAAGATATATCAGGGTGCGCACATATCAACTACAGATCTTGGCTCTACCAAAAAAAGATTAGTTCATGGAAGAAATAGGTATTAAGGAAAAAGTGTAGTAAGTAAAGAGGCAGTTGGGGATAGTGGGATATGCTGTCTCACAATGTAATTCAAAAAGCATCTCCTAACCATAAAGTAAAGCAAAGCTACAAGGAAATCAAACACGAAGGTATAATACATTTTTATTGAGTGCCATAGAAGGTGTATCGAGAGATTACCCAACTGGGTTTTGTTTTGAAACTGTCAAGCTTGAAAACCGTAATCCTAATACAACTTGTACCTGCAGACAGCAGTTTATAGCCAAACATATGAAAGCGGGAAAGTAGACCTAACCAAATGATGATTTAAGTTGTAACTCTAGTGAATCGCAAGAAAGACTGATAGTAAATTAGCATCACCCAGCTCATGAACTTGATGCTATCCTTTTTTTTTTTTTGGTCAACAAACTTGACGCTATCTAAATTCGTATAACCAATGGTAAATACTGTGCTCTTACAAATGAGCCAATACAAGATTAAGCTATAGATGTATATCTATATTTCCACGAAAAACAAATGGTGAACGTTATATCACAAGCCCTATGTTCTAGTAACCTATTTTAACTGAACAAGCAGGAGACTTACCGATTCAGGTTGTGCATCAGAGTACAAGATGTGAAAGTTTCTGATGGACACTTGAATGCTATCAAGAATCTAAGGCAATAAAGAAGGAAAGTTAACATAGTAGAAAGAACATGATTGATAACCTCATCCGTAAGCAGGAAGATCTACGCTAACTCAAAAATTAAAATACAGGATCGGACCGACCAAAGATGATAGGAAAAATGTAAGATGGTTAAACTACGTGTAGCATTGCGGAAAATTACGTCACCTTGGCAGCAATGTACGACATAAAAGGATTCCCTGCTGGACTGTCTGGACAAAAAAAATAAAAATAAAATTGAAGGGGCTGTAACATGGGAGCAATCTTTAAAGCTAAACTAATTAGTGCAATGTAACGAAAACCAAGACATCAATGAACTGAGATAGCAAGTATATTGCTCACCGAAGACACGCCGGGACAATTTCGCCAGCTCTGCAGCAGCAAGCTTAGCTTTCTTACCAGCAAACTCTCTTTTCTCAACCACATCTGAACTCCACTGCGATGACCATATAAGTAATTGGGATTAAAAGCAAACGCTTGTCATGTATAGGAAAAGAGGTGTTAGGCAGGGAAAATCACCTCTTGATCATTGCGTTGTGATGCACATACAAAGACATCTTCAAGCTTAATGATGATTGGATCCCTGCCAAGCTTCTTCCATGGAATTTTAATACTCAATTTCCCAACACGGCCTGTAAGAACAACAAAAGATTTGACACAGTGAGAGAAAGCAAAGTAAAGCATCAGATAGAGAAGGCAGACAGAATCGAACAAAGACCCGGCTTCAATCCATTTATATCACCTTGCTTGAGAGCAATTGGCAGCTGCAAATAGTCGAACGCTTCGAGAATCAGTTCCACGTTCTCTAATAGAACTTCCTCTGCAATTAGAACACACACACACACACACAAAATGTGAGTATATTCATCCAATCGAGAGAGCTGTGGTGTTCGTTGAACGAAAGAGGAAGTGAAATACCATTCCAGACAGTGATCTTGAGCTGGTCTCTCTGAATGTCTTTGATGTAGCGACCTAGGTACCCTAGCAATAGCTGTCGCACAAGCCCTTCAAACATCTTCAAACCTCTATTTCATTATCCAGCGATTCAAAACGCGATAACAGTTTCTCTCCGCCGGGAGAGGGAGAAGAAAAAGAAACAAACGGTGGTCGGAGAAGTGTAAACGAGTCGAGGAAATCGTAGGGTTTTTCCTCTGCGTCGAAACAGCGTTACAGAGACTCTGTCTTCTCCAGAAGGCGAATTTTTCAGGCGGTTTCGTCCCCTCCATACCGAACCGGAGTAGACCAAATATGACGGTTGGTTATGAATTTCGTTACACTAACCCGGCTAGTATGTAATTGGTTTTGTTGTTCTTTATTATATATTTCTTTCTCTTCAACAGAGTTGATTTTCTCTAATTGGAGTTGATTATAATGACTCTTAACAGTTAACACACTGCTACAAAATTATCTCGTTCATTACATTTTTCGTTAATCACTTTGAATTTTGGGGTAAATCTGTATCCTATTAACTAGAATTTTTCTTCTAACATTCAGATTTTGACTCAAAACTAATTTTCAGTAAAATGGAAAAACAAACATAGTGTACACAAATAGTAGACGTAGACGTTATTTAGTGGTGGCCAACATTGAGTCATGCATTGATCACCATCACTTGATACGCTTTAAGTTGTCTATGACTAGGCTCATCCAAATATTCGGTTGCCGCCTGAAATTTCACACACCTCTTCTCTAAGCACTCTCACAGCTTCTGAGACTCCATCCTGATATTATTGTTTTTGGATATTGTCAGATATTACTCAAACTACTAAAGAAAACAAAAAAAGATTGAGCTATACATCGAAAAAACTCCATGGGAAGAAAGAATACTTTGATTATGGGCCATGGATCAGTAGGAGAAAAAGAAAACAAAAAACTGATCAAAATTAGTTACCTCAAGAGATAATATTTCAGCGATTTCCATGGCACGAGCTTTGGTTTTTGCAGACAGTGCATCATATATGGCTTTTGCTACCACTTGTGCAGCTTCCATGATGTTCTCATCATTTGTTTCCTCCAGAAGCAGGTGGTTTCTTTTCAATGGTTGAGGACCAACCCCAAGCCAAGACATCTTTTCTGCCCAATAGAACTGATCCAGCACAAATGGGCATATGATCTGTAGAAAGAAACATACACACATTATACGGTCACTTATTGGCAATACAACTTGAGATTCGTTCAAATGAACACCAATACTAGTCTGTCAACTCAGAAGATACAAGATAAAGCTTTAAGTGAAAGAAAGCAAAAACGTTAATCATCATTTGTAACCAAACAGTGCACAAGGCTTTGGTTTATGAGCACGATACTGCAGCGTAACTAAAGAGCAATCACGATTAGAAGACCATGGTATGTTCTTCTAATGTGTAGACACAGAATTCATCAACCGTTCTTAGTTATTGTACAACAAAAAGCCTACTGGTCCGTTTAGGCCAAGTTTTACCATTTTGTGTCAAGTCACATACAAAAACGTCCAAAGATTATATAAGATTGTTGAAGCAAAACATACCTGTGGGATCCCAGCATGTAATGCTGCAGCTGTAGAACCACTATTTCCACAGGGAGACATTTTCATATAAAAACATGACAAAATCAGTTCTCATCTATATATATATACGTCCTAGTTTTTTAGGTAAGAGCATCCAGCAGAAAATTTCACCTGCCACCATGATGAATTGCAGCAGCACATTTTCGAAACAGCCAATTGTATGGCACCATACTAATTCAGATAGACAAAGAGATATGCATGTTATATAGAGCTACAGAAATATTTACATTTGCAATGTCCAATATAACGATATTTCTATATTCCAGAGAAAATAATATCATGTAAAAGAACAATAAACGGCAGCCAAAAATTGGGCAAGTTTGTACTCACCCAGAGAAGCAAAAAAGCTTGCCGTTGAAGATAGAGATTCCCGCATGTAACGGTCGTTCTGCACTTGAAGGCGATTCCTGAGCAATGGTCCAAATTGCTGCATCTAAAGGTTCATAACCCGCTGTGAAAATGATAAATCTGTAGCCTGTAATCTGGATAACAGACTGGAGAACTCGAAGAAAGGCCAGCGGGTTCCTCACAAAACCCATGCTGCGAAAGCAAAGAAAAAGTTATTCCCTTATATTTAGCATGTGCTAAATATCTGACTAGACTAAATATGACTGTTCTGCGCACACAAAATAAATATTGAAGGCATAAAACTCAGAAACGATTTAGAGGGATCAACAGATCAACTTAAAGTTAGACCTTCCAACAGAACTCAACCCTACAAATATAGGACGAGCTGGCTCTAAAGACGATACAAAAGTATAGAACTCAGTGAGGACTGAGCATGTATGAGAATCGTCTGTACCCAGGCGCCCTGCAGAAGGACTGTCTCCACAACTGTTGCATGAAAACTGCCACTCGTTGGGCAGAAACCAAAAGCCACAGACTCGAACACTCAATGGCCAGTAATCTGTTCATATGACAAAATAAATGTAGTGAAATGCAAAGAACGAAGCTTTGCCAGGTCAACTGACTATGCGTCAAACAAGACATTCATTGACAATGATTCTGTTACATTCATTTAGTTTCTATCCCTTTTTCCGGATGGAAAATAGTCATCATTTTTAGTTCAGGTCTGTTGCAGAACATACCAAAAAGAAGGAACACGAAGGTACTACCCAAATCACTTTTCTGTAAAGAAGGTTCTAGCAATCCACAGAAACATATTTCGTTAAAAGAGGCAAACATCCAACGTACCAGGGCATTCGACAATTTCTTTGCTGAAACCATACCTGTCACAAGAAAAATAAGTAACAGGTCACCTACAAACTTATGCGTTGCCATCTAGTTTTTCGATTAATACCAGTATAATACGGCAACTAACTTACTAAAAGTTTTAAAATGCTTTTAAAAAATCAGAATGTAACAAAGAAATATACAAATATAAAATCTAGATGGGAAGAAGATTGCAAAGTGATCGGATGTACTACCAAGAGAATTCACAACTCACAGGACCAGTGGAGATGGCGGCCGGATATGCAAAATTGGAAGGTCTGTTACTGGATCCTGCATCCAATGAGTAGATAGGGTAGCAGGCAATAATTTTTTTTGACAAAAAAAATGTATCCTTCGAGGTCTCTATGTTCTAAAAAACACCTACTGCGAAAGGGTAACAACTTAGGTTGAGTTCCTCATATCGCCATGATCCCCAATCTTCAGTAAAAAGAGGCCACATCCAATGAGTTACATCACTCCAGCTAACCTGCAAAAATATAAAATTATAAAAATTCAGGAGAAAATAACAACAGTGGCATGTTTGTATCACAATCATATGAAATACCTTGTCGATGGGGGCTTCTTTCAAATACTTGTATAACTCCGGAAGTTCTTTCCTAAACTGTCTTTCAAAGCCTGATGGTGGACTGTACAAAAGAAGAATTGCAAGTGGTCATACTTCCATTTCCAGGATGTCAAGCACATACTTCCAAGCTATGAAGTTACCTATACGGAACAACATAAGGAGCAGCTACCACACAACGGATTTCGAAAAGTTCTGCAAGGCTCCATCCTTCCTGAATGTACAATCAGAAAAACTACTGTTAATTCTTTCTTATCATATGATCGTAACCATCATTCAGAACTTCAGATTTTGACTTTTTTCGCTGAGAGCCAAGCTTCATGATGCAACTCTATTGTCATTGATAGAGATAAATTAAACATAATCATGATCCTGGTACAATGGAAAGTATGAAGTAGATGTACCAATGCAAAAAAGTTTATGACAACGAGATCCCCCTCCGTACAAGGACCCTTTCCGAAAATGCTTTTGAATGCAGAATGACACTCTTGTCTGTGTTCCTTTTTTATCCTTTGTTTTCCCTCCAGAAAAAGCATCGTTGCTGAGTCTGAATGTAGCCCACAAAAGCAAAAGGAGGAAATACATACAAAGAAAGAAAGAAAGAAAGTGAGCAAGATGAATGCTTAAAGCTAAGGTGTGAAGAAAACAAGAACTGGAAAAAGGAATTAGCATAAGAGTATTGACCTGTAGCGTCCTGAGTACCCTGAGGTTCACTAGACAGAGCAGGAGGAGAATTGGTAGGAAAATAAGAAACGTTCGCTTTGGTTAAGTGGGAGCTAAGGTTCTGCCAAAAAGAAACAACCTTTTTACTTTTGATTCTCGAAAGTGGAGAAAGCAACATAGTTTCTGCAATTCGAGAACTCTAGGAGAAGAAGAAGAAGAACCCAACCTCATGAGCCAGATGAGACATTAAAACCACAGAGTACTGTTGCTGATCACGAGCGAAAGCTGCGGCAATGGCCTGCCAAAGTAAATAGCTTTTGGAATCGATTTTCTAAGAGAACCCAAATTCCAAAACTGAGAGAGAGAGAATGAGATTACAGCGAGAGGGAAGACATCGCCTTTGGTACCAAAAGCCATGAAAAGAGCGATGGGTTTCCTGCTCTCCGATCGATCCATGGTGCTCATGCTCTGACGAGACGAGAGAGAGTGAGACTAGAGTGTTCACCGCAGCTACAGCGTCTAATATAGCGATCACCAATGAAGCGCGTTTTGCAACCTTCAAAATATTGGATTCGCGTTTGCATCTCAACATTCAGTAAACGCATTTCACATTCTGTTGGATTTCGACCGGAAAAGTTATGAGCAGCAGATTCGGCTCGAGTCTCATCCTCTAAAACCGGTAACTTTGCATAAAAAAAATGAATAAAAACTCAAACTTTGCAAGTTTTGTAACAACAATTTTGATCTACAAAAAACATTAGAAACAGATTCGTTATTTTAATTAAAGAAAAGTACTTTTGAAACTGACTGTAATCAAATCATATCATACTTATTTCTCTGCATATCATCAAGCGCGCCAATTGAATGAGGTCAATTCTGCGTCTTGAAAACCAATCTCCTTCCTTTTTTATTCTGTTTTGATTCATTTTTATAAAAAAGTGAGTTGCTTTCTAATGTGTCAACCGATCACTTCACAACAATGCAAATGAAAACTGAGTCTCATATCTTAATGGAACCATCACTTTTGTTTCACATAGCAAGAGAAATCCATCGCATCAGCTCTAGAAAACAAAAAAGCAGATTCTTTCTTCATTTCTTAAAACTATACATGTGATTCCAAAGACATTACTTTGGCATGTGAAGAACACAACGCAGACACCTTCCTTCTCTCATAAGCTTAAAAGCTTCGTTGATATCATCAAACGCAAGGTTATGCGTGACCAATTCGTCGATCATGATCTCCTACGCCACAAAAGAAAGGTAAAAGAACTGTTCATCCATTAATGGCGATTTTGTTTTATGTAGCTGTGCTAATATACCTTGTTCATGTACTTTTCAATGAGCGAAGGAAGATCAGATTTAGGCTTCCAACCACCAAAAAGAGTCCCTTTTAAAGATTTCCCAGAAAGAAAAAGTCCGTAATGAGCTGAAACTTCAGGCTTCACTTTCGGTACACCTAAAGTAACGGTCATGCCCCATCCCTGAGATATCCACAATGAAAGTGAAAAAGGCATTTGTATACAATTTGGTGCGTAAAATACAAAACAAGGTGAGAAGTAAATGGAACAGAAAGCTCACATCTGAGCACGATTGTAAAGCAGTTGTAGCTATTCCTGTATCACCAACGCATTCAAATGAGAAATCCGCACCTCCTCCTGTCATTCTTTTGATTACCTAAAAATCCCAATACAGTGAGAAAACATGTTATACACGTACTTAAGATGAAGGCAAGAAGCTTTAATGCTATGATAAGCACAAACCAGAGAATCACTGGAACTACCTGGGGAACGGGTTCAGAGAGGTCGTTTGAATTGATGAAATCCGTGACACCAAATGTCTTTGCTGAAACAAGAAAAGAACACTCAAAAGAAGTCCAGAAACACGCTAAGCCGTGATATATCTTAAAGCTATGACTATGATATACCTTGTTCAGCCTTAGCTGGGTTTATATCAACCCCAATTATTTGAGCTGCTCCTCTGAGTTTGGCACCTTGAGCAACCTGCTCATAAGACAGACTTAATCCCACATCAAACCCCATCAACACAATGTACGAAGAAGCATCAAAGTTTATGTACCAATACTTACCGAAAGACCAACAGTTCCAAGACCAAATATCACAACACTTGAACCTTTTTGTACATCAGCAACATTCCATGCTGCACCAAGACCTAGAATTACTAGATTTTTTAGTGTTGGCTGGAAATAAGTATTTGAATTTCATCTTTCTTTTTTTTTTGTGTACCTGCAGCTGCTCCACAGCTCAGAAGACAAATCTTGTTCAGAGGTGCCAGAGGATTGACTTTAACAGCAGAGCCAGAGTGAACCACAGTGTACTCGCTGAAACTTGAAACTGCGCAGTAATGGTAAACAGGTTTGCCTTTAATGGAGAAGCGTGTCTTCTGATCACTATGCATCAAACCTTTCCTCTCCATTCCAAGAACCTGACACATGTTACTTTTTCCAGACATACAATGCCGACATGACCCACACTCTCCAGTAAATACAGCGAGCACGTGGTCTCCTTTCTCAAACTCGGTTACGCCTTCCCCTATGCTCTCCACTATACTGCAGAAACATCCAGGATTCAAACCTGTTTAGCTCTTTCTTTCTTCAGTTGCACAAAGAACTATACCATAAAAACAGCTAATATAAGTGTCTAGCTAACTCTGGATCAATGCCTAAACCACGACAAATCCAGAATACATTCTCCTTGCTCTCCTTTAAACTTTCAGCTCTGAACTAACCGAAGTAAGGTATGTTCCTGAGCTGGCAAAGCTACAATTTACTGCACCACCCCTAGGCTAGTTACAATAGTCCTAGCTAGTCTCAACAAGAGCACTGTATTAAACCGCATCACATTCTTACATTTTTGAAACCCAAGTAAGGTCTGTTCCAAGGATTGTAAAATCTAAAAGCGAAGTTCTGGACAAAAGTGACTTACCCTGCAGCTTCATGGCCAAATATTCGGGGCAAAAGAGACTGTAACCAACAAAGGAGGAGACAGGAACAGAGACTCGTAAATTTGGAAATTCAAAAGGAGATAATTGTAAAGAATGAGAAACGAAACCTGAGATTCCCAAGCGGAGAGGTCGCTACGACAGAGAGATGTACAGACAACTTTAATTCTGATCTCAAGGGGTTGAGGTGGACTCACTTCCACTTCCTCCATAACCAGTGGCTCACCAGCACGCCATGCCACCGCAGCTGCATAATTTATCTTAAGGTTTTATCAAAATCTCTAAAAGAGGACAAAACTCACAAAAAAAAAAAAACTTTTTTTACCTTTGCAGGTTATGACTCGAGGTTGTTCGGAGGAGGAAGACGACGACATTGTTATCCAAATTTGTTTGATTCTAGCACAAATCAAGGAACCCCAGAGTGAGACGAAGGGGATGAAGAAACAGAGCTTCACCTAACACCAAGTCACCAACCACCATGAGCTTAAAAAACCCGACTTTACAGCTTCAGAGGTCCCACATTAGATCCAAGTCATTCCCGCCACCAACCCCTTTCATCAATTAATCCGAAACCTCATCGCATTCGATTCATATAATTTCTAAGTGACAAATAGTGTCGAATCGAGGACACTCGACTCACAAAATCAGATTTACTGGTTTTATCGTAATTTTATATTCACATCTGACTTTCTTCTTACTGAGATTTACAGCTTACTGGTTTTATCGTAATCTTATATTCACATCCTTTTTTTATGCTTTTTCCGTTTTGATGAAATCAGTGCTTAGCTTGTTGAAATTTTAGATTACTACTGTTTCTGTGTTTCATTCCAGGTCCAGGAAAGCTGGTTCGCATAGGAAGAGCAATGAAGGAAGAGAAAATTAAGAAGAGCAATGAAGTGTCCATTTCCTAGTCAGAATTGGTCTTACTAAGAGACCAATAGCCATGTAACTCTGTTTCATTCAGTTGTAGAGCTTATTGGACGGACCTGACTGAATCCTCGTTATAGTAGCAATGTTGGGCTGGTTAAATCAGGCTTGGAGAAGAGTGTTATTGGGTTTATAGTGGGCTCTTATTTACTCCATAGTTAAAAAAAATTGAAACCCAATGTAATGATATTTTAAAAACTTTTTATAATCCTTTGGCTTTGGGTATATATGATCACCTTTGTTTTTTTTCCCCTTAAATAAAATATGATAATCTTTGTTAATTGATCATTTTTTCCACACTTGGTTAAGTTTTCAAAAAAAAAAAAAAAATCAAAAACATTTGGTACCATGTCCTTTATTTATTTATTTATTTATTTATTGAGTTGTGATAGGATGGACTCATACATATGATGCATTGTTATGCATGGGGACATGAAAGACATGTGAAATAAGATGCTTGATATTATTAATTAGCTCTTGTAGTAGAGTGGATTAGGGAGCTTGAAAGTTCTTCTCCCAGGGCTGTCCTTAGCCAAATCAGCCCATTGGTCTCCAATATTCCCAATGATAGTGTAACCACTCCTCTCCAGCTTCTTCCTCTCCTTTGACTTGAAGTTCGCTGTCTTCATGTTCGAATCCGTTGGCCTGCGTTTCCATAAATCATTCATTTCAAATCACGGATGATATACTTAATTACTGTATATGATTAAGCTACTTAGTTTAATTCTTCGTACTTGAATAAGATATGCTTCCAATAGTGGAAGCCAGCAGCTTTGAGATTCTTAAGAGTGACTTCCTCCAACTCTTGGAATCGTTCAGTGAGTAAGACTGGTTCAATCCCGAGTTCGAGGATGTTTTGGTAAAGATGCAAAGTCTCTGGGAGCACGGGAGCTTCTCCGACCTCCAACCACTTCATGAACGTCTCCGGTTCGTGCTTCTCTGTCCTAAGAAACCCCCAAAAAAAAGAACATAAAAAAGTAGTCTTACATGAAATCACAAAAAAAATCACAATGTAGTCATGGAAAAAAAAGATTGAAATCAGAGATGTGAAAATCAATAATACAATAAAATATAATGATGTCTCTGTATATGTTTACATCTAAGCATCTTTGAAAAAATGTGGAGATGGAGGAATTTTGTAGAAGTTCATTAAAAACTATGTATGTATATAATTTTCCTTATAAAAATTAGGAGCCGTTGAAATTTGAAAAAAAAAAAATAATAATAATAATAATAGAGAAGAGACTATGTGTGAATGCAAACAGTCTATATACATGGTAGTGAAACTAATAGTAGTAATATGTGTACCCGTATCCGTATTTGGCGTAAAAGGGAACATTAGACAGGAGGGTGTCGTCTAGGTCAAAGATCCAAACATTGTAGGTATTATTCTTTAGGGCAAGTCCTTTGGCGTAGAAATAAGCTTCTTTGCACAACGTTTTGGAGTCGTAACGGTACTGTTGGGACGTGGTCAAGTAGTCTTCAACATAGCCTTTGCAATTTGCGGGCACAGTCTCGAAGTTTATGATGTTAGAAGTAAAAGAGTAATATCGTAAACGTGTTTAGCTTTGTGAATAAGAATATCTCTCTTATATTAATGCTTAAAAAAAATATCTCAAAACTTAAACACCCAAAAGTCATATGTGAATGCCACAGCTCGACATCTATATATCTTGTTAACATAATTTCATTTTCCTAATTGTATTAGATAACTCCTAAAGCAACTAGAAATACTAGGAAACCGACTAAGCCCTTCTTATCTTAATCCAACTTGATTAAGGATGTCTTGGGCCTGAAGTAATGTTGAAGCTTATCCAACATTCTTCCTCTTAACCTTCAACCTATCCTTAGCCATATCTTGGACACCAATTAAGTTCCTCATCTCTGCAAACTTGACCCGCGTCAATGCTTTAGTTAACATATCAGCCTTTTGCTCTGTTCCTGGTACATGTTCGACTCCAACCAGCTCCCTCTCAACACATTCTCGCAAAAAGTGATACCGTTTGTGAATGTGCTTGCTTTTACCGTGAAACACTGGGTTCTTTGTCAGTTCTATTGCAGACTTGTTGTCAAGTTTGATGATCACTTGCTCTGGTTTCCAACCTGTTACTTCACTTAGTATATCTCGAAGCCATATAGCTTGTCTTGCCGTCTCTGTTGCCGCCATAAATTCAGCTTCACATGATGAAAGAGCTACTGTGTCTTGTTTTTGCGAGCACCATGTGATTGGAGCTGATCCAAGATAAAAAATATGACCTGTGGTACTTCTTCCATCATCGAAATCAATGTTATGGCTGCTGTCACTGTATCCGACAAGCGTTTTTGATGTATCTTGTTTGAACTTCAAACCGAAAGAGACTGTTCCTTTAAGGTACCGTAGTATCTGTTTCATCATCTCTCCATGGGATTTTCGTGGACTTTGCATGTATCTACTAGCAATGCCGACTGAGAAAGCTAGATCAGGACGAGTGTGAAGTAGATACCTTAGACATCCGACATTTCTTCTGTAGCTCGTCGCATCTATATATGGTTCTTCTTCTGCTTTTGAGACTTTAAGTCCAAAGTCCATCAGAATCGTAGTTGAATTACAGCTTTCAAGACCGGCTTCTTTCAAGATTCTGTTTGCGTAAGCTTCTTGCTTGATTTCAATACCGTCTTCTCCTTGGTGAACCTCAATACCAAGATAATATGTGAGTTTTCCAAGATCTGACATTTCAAACTTTGAAGACATACCGATCTTAACTCATTCAGTGCTTTGGTATTATTTCCCGTGATGAACAGGTCGTCCACATACACAGCGACTATGAGTAGACTTCCCTTTTCTTCTTTGCGATATACTGAGGTCTCTTTCATGCACCTTATGAACTTCATACCTTTTAGAATCTGGTCAAGTTTGGTATTCCAGGCTCGCGGTGCTTGTCGTAGACCATACAAGGCTTTCGAGAGTTTGTATACTTTGTGTTCTTCTCCTTTTTTTTCGAAACCTTCTGGTTGTTCTACGAACACGTCTTCCTTTAGTTCTCCGTGCAAGAAAGCCGTTTTTACATCCAAATGGTGAATTTCCCAACCATGTGAAGCAGCTAGTGCCATTAACAATTGAATGGTTTCAATTCGCGCAACCGGTGCGAAGACCTCGTCAAAGTCTATACCTGATTCTTGTATATAACCTTTAGCTACTAGTCTTGCTTTGTATTTGTTAATGGAGCCATCTGCATTCTTCTTAATCTTAAAAATCCACTTTAGGCCAATCACTTTTATGTTACTTGGTCGATCAACAAGAGACCATGTCTTGTTCTTGTTAATCGAATGAATCTCTTCTTCGCAGGCTTTCCTCCATTCCAGTAAACCCTTTGCTTCTTTATAGCTTCTTGGTTCATAGTTTATTGCAAGTAGCATTCTCTCGCATTCCACAGAGGCCTGTAAGACGAAATCATTGAGATGTCCTGGTCGTTTAACTTGACGAGTTGATCGTCTTAGTGCTGGTGCTGTTTCTTGTGTTATGTCGTTTCCCTCATCTCCATGATTGTCTCCTTGATGATCTGTAACATCACTGCTCTCTTCTTCATTATTTTCGTAATCATGGGAATCTTCATCCTCGGTTCCATCTTGATTATGAGCATCAACAATTACGGGACCTTCTCCAGTATCTTCTACATCCCCCCAGGTCATATGAAACATCCTTGGTTCTCTGTTTAGTCCATTCGATGCTTCTTTCCAGTTCCAACTTGTTCTTTCATCGAACACCACGTCTCGGCTTATTACTATCCTGCGATTTGATGGATTGTACAACCTGTAAGCTTTTGAACCTGGTTCAATCCCAAGATGAACAAGTGGTATTGATCTGTCATCGAGTTTTCTGAGACTTGCAGAGTCCAACTTCGAGTAGACTAGACATCCGAAAACTCTTAGGTGCTCCACATTGGGTTTCTTCTTGCGCAAAGCTTCATACGGAGTCATATTGTCCAAAGCTTTTGTTGGAACTCTGTTAATGATGTAGGTGGCGTGTCTTGTTGCTTAGTTAGGCACTTTCTTCTCTTTAAGCATGCTTCTGGTCATCCCCATTAATGTTCTATTCCTTCTTTCAACAACGCCATTTTGTTGGGGCGTATACGGAGCCGTCAACTGTCTTTTTATTCCACTTGCTTCGCAGAATTCATGAAAGTCCTTAGAAGTGAATTCTCCTCCCCTGTCTGTCCTGAGGGTGATAATATCTTCTTTGAAATCCTTCTCAACCAGTCTTTTAAATGCTTTTAATTTATCAAGTCCATCGCTTTTCTCTTTGAGGAGGATTGTCCACATATATCGTGAGAAATCATCTATGATAACGAACTCGTATCTGTTGCGAGCAAGGGTAGGAGGCGTTATTGGCCCACATAGATCTGCATAAAGGAGCTCCAAGGGTTTTGATGCTCGAAACTTACTAGCCTTTGGAAAACTCTGTCGATTTTGTTTTCCAACTAGGCATGACTCACAGATCTTTGTTTCGTTTCGTATTGAGGGAAGACCACGAACCATCTCGTGTTGAGCCATATCTTTGATCGTTTTAAAACTTATGTGCCCCATTCTTGTGTGCCACTTCCAGGTGTTATCCTCAATGTTCGAATGAAGACATACTGGTTTTCCGATTTGAAGCTTGATCTTGTAGAGGCGATTTGGTGATCTGATTACTTTCACCAATAGCCTGTTGTTTGGATCATGAACCGTTAAATAATCTTGCTTCATTCGAACGTCACATCCAACTTCTGTTGCTTGACCTAGGCTCAGAATATTGCTTCGGAGATCGGGAATATAGTAAACTTCTTTCACAAGGATCTGTTCATCGGTTTTACTTTGAAATAGAATGGATCCTTTTCCTTCTATCTTCACACAAGACCCATCTCCAAATTTTACTTTGCCTGTAATGTTCTTGTTGAGCTCTGAAAAATACGCCTTGTTGCCTGTCATGTGGTTACTTGCCCCATTATCAAGGTACCATATATCTTCTTCTCCCTCATAGTTCTTGGGTATAAGTTTGTCTTCATTTAAAAACACGACCTCATGCATGTAGAGGGCTTCGTCTTCGTCTGCTTCCTCTTTTCAACTTCGTGCATATTTGTCTCTTGGTACTTTCGAGTTCTATCAGGACATTTGGAGGCGAAGTGACCTGGCTTGTCACAGCGATAGCAGATGACTCTAGAAAGATCCTTTTTCTCCCGTGTCTGATTTGAATCGTTTTGATTCATCGACCTGTCTTGAGAATTAAACCGACCTCCTCTACCGCGTCCTCTGTTTCCACGTCCTCGTCCTCTTCCGTATGAGACCTGTTGGTCTATTCGTATACAGCAATTTTCCTTGTGTATCCTCTTGATTCTCCTCGCCGAGAATCCGTTCTTCATAGGCTTTTAACCGGCCAATGATGTCTTCAAAACTAGTTGTCTTTAAGTCTAAAACCTGTTCAAGAGAAGCGATGATGTGTATATATTTGTTTCTCGGCAAAGTGTTAAGAAACTTTTTAACAAGTTTTGATTCATCCATCGTTTCTCCAAGGGCAGCTGATTTTGAAGCAAATTCTGATAACTTTCCAGCAAAGTCGTCGATGGTGTCTGTGTCTTTCATCTTCATTCTCTCGAATTCAGACATCAGAGTTTGGAGTCTGGCTTCTCTAACTCGATCGGCACCTAGGTTGCGAGTTTTAATCGCTTCCCAAATTGCCTTTGGAGAATTTTGCTCACCGACTTGTAAGATTAAATTCTCCGGGATGGACTGAAAGAGTAGGCCGATTGCAACGTCGTTCTTGGTAGAGTCTGTTGAGCCGGGATCAATGGTTTCCCAGACTTTGTGGATTCGTAGCAACACTCGCATCCGCATCGCCCATACGGTGTAGTTCGTGGAGGTTAATAGTGGGCATTGTATAGATGATGGGATCTTCTCTTTTGCCTGCGTCGCCGGAACTACGTCTCCCATTGTTTCGTATCACGTTGTCTTCGTGTTTCAAAGCTCAAATTTTGATCGAAAACCATAATGCTCTGATACCAAATAAAAGAGTAAGATCGTAAACGTGCTTAGCTTTGTGAATAAGAATAACTCTCTTATATTAATGCTTAAGAAAAATATCTCAAAACTCAAACACCCAAAAGTCATATGTGAATGTCACAGCTCGACATCTATATATCTAGTTAACATAATTTCCTTTTCCTAATTGTATTAGATAACTCCTAAAGCAACTAGAAACACTAGGAAACCGACTAAGCCCTTCTTATCTTAATCTAACTTGATTAAGGATGTCTTGGGCCTGAAGTAATGTTGAAGCTTATCCAACAAGAAGTCTCAACACCAAGGTGCCAGCTTATGCAGTTGGGGTAGTTGATGGTGAGTCGTTGTTTCTCTAAGAGCTTGGCTTCGTTCTCAAAGATGTTCGTTGATGTGAGCAACTCGATGAGCTCAGGCACAGTTACGGAAGGCCGGCCGTGGGAGACCGTAGCGGCCAAGAGCAAGAGAAGTGAAAGTGTGAGGATTTTCTTTTTTTTTGGGTATGGTTATTGTTTAGTGTGTGATGTTTATTTGTATGATACAAAGGATGGTATTTATAGCCGGGGTAAGTTACGGTATGATTACTTACGATGGGAAATGAGGAGATAAGTGTACGTGTCTGGCTTCGAATGATCGATGCAATGATTAATTGGTGTCCCCATTATGTTGAAGATCTTTCACTTGCACCACTCGTTTTTGGAGCACGTTGTGACCGTGCTAATTAGCTTTTTTTTTTGCGTTTTGTTATATTTACCTTTGGCATTTCAATCTTGAATGCTTGTGAAACTTTGGATTAAGAAAAAAACATTATTGTGAAGTTGTTTCACACATAAAAATATATCAGAGTAAGATGACTTTAAGTAGGACTATTTCTAGCTAAATTAACTCGTTATAAAGTCTTGGTTATTTACTTCCCGTGTGTCGATAATAAAATTCCACTGCAACATGCAACACAGAGTGAGGAAATCAGATTATATTATCTTGTAGAATATTGATGATGTATATGTCTTCGCTTTAAAAGTTTGATATTTAAGACTATGGTGATACGTATCCATAAAAGTAGAAATGTGTGTAGGTCATGTACAGACCAATAACTTTACTCAGAGAATAAACCCTACTACATGGAACACACACTATAATTTGACGTGTTCTGTAAGAGCCACACCATAGGCAATAATACCGAAGGTGAAGATAATCAATCGATGGTGATAAAATAATACACTTGTAAAGACGGCTTTTGTGGACGTGTTTATTTTTATACCGAGATGATTAATAGAAAGTTGTCACGAAAACTACTTTCACAAGACAATGATATTGTGTAATTGATTGTGAATTCGATTGCTCACCAATTGCAAAAAGAAAACGTTAATTATAGATCCATCTCCGACTCTGGCAGAATCATGTCCTTTTCTCTATTTCTTTTTTGGTTTTAAACTTTCGGCAATAATCCTTGTTGGAAGTGTGGCTAGTTCATGTGATTTAATCACATGGATTAAGGATTCGGCTGCATATTTCAGAAATTAGGGAATTTGAGCCCAGTTTTGGCCTACGAATAAATTTTATGTTTAAGGCTTTTAATATTAAGCTAATAATGATCCACTTTTGACCCAATAATGTTTTTTTGTCAACGACCAAATAATTTATACTCCTTTTTTCACTATAAAATAATGAGCCCTAATTTTCTAGACACAGAATCGCCGTCTCTGTTTGATACAATAGACAGCGAAGCCACTTTTAGGTCTTAAAAAGGAAAAAAAAAATTGCTCTATGTCTGAAATCTTCTACTGATATCTTGTGCTTATAATACATACAGTTTCGTTTCGGATTCTTTCGCGTGTTTCCTAACTGATGGTTAATACCGGAGTAGTGATTCAGGCAGCCTCCTTGTCAAAAAAAATAAAACAGTGACATGTCAGAGGTGTTTAACTGCTCCTAGAATGAACTTTTCTTCTGCTCTTCAGACTTGCTGAGATTTTATTTGTCTTTGAAGCTGGTCTAGTAGTCTTAAGCACATTCGCTCTTATAATTTTATATAATTAAATAAAAAAACTTTAAGATTCTGAACTCTGTTAATTAATCGTAATAGAGGGACTTTTCTTGATGATTTATAATTCTATTGATGGTTTGCAACTACATTCTCTTCAAAGAGAGAAGAAACTAAAAAAAAACATACGTTTGGTTTAATGCAAGACTTTGACATGCTCTTGTCTAAGCTAGCTAGTATGTAGGAAGTTTGACTTTGAGTGCAAGTAATCAATTTTTTAACCAAACTATTTAGTCACGTGGAACCCTAATCCTGTGATTAAGCATGCTAAACTTGAATAATTCTTAACTGTAGTAGGCACTTAGTGACCTCTAATATGAAATGAGTGTACAACAACGAAACCATCTACACTCGGTTCAAAATTAGATGCCACCATCTATACTAATTAATACATCAACAATCATTCTTCTAAAGGTTGTTGAAGATTGTGACTCGGGGATGATTTGGTTCATCTGAGATGGTAAATCGCATGGGGGTAATTATTGACTGGTTTGATGAATAGTGCAATAATCAAATAATCTTAATGGTGAAAACATTTTTGAATTGAATAAAACGCTGATACTGATTTATGTAGAATGTTTCTTTTTGTTATACGTATAACGTATGCGCTTAAAAATTATTTTTCAAAAATTTCAAAAACATAAAAAAATTTGATAAATAAAATGAATCAAAAATAGTAGAATCATGTATAAACGTGAAAAAGTAGTACACTTATACCATTCATCCAAAGGCTTAAAACGAATTTTAAGTTGCGTAAGTACTCAGTAATTACTAACTACACTCACGCGATTTAAGTGACTCATAAGAGATGCGTGCATGTCGCCTTCCGAAGTTAATGTTGTTTCCATAATAAACGCGTTGCTTTATCACACGTCGTCTTTTCTGATTCTTTAACAAACTTAGCTTACTAAACGGGAAACAAATTTAGCTTACTAATTAATGAGCTCTCTTAGAGTTTTAGATTCCATGAAGCAACTTGTTGATTATTCTTAAGATATGAGAACTAATTATATGGTTGAACATCCATTAACCAAAAAATGAAATTCTCCATGAGCATGGATTTAGGAGAATCTATGCACATATGTCTCTAAAATATACAAGACAATATCACAAAAAAGATAATTAACTATTAAATCTTATGATAGATTTTATTTTGGAAGTTAATAATTTATGTAATTTTTTAATAATATATGTAATTTAAATGATATGGCAATTATAGTTTTTAAGTTTATATTTACATTAATGTATTCAAATATGAATATCTATGTGTAATTTAAATGATATGGCAATTATAGTGTTCATAAATTTGACAAAAAATATATATATTTATGGGGAAAATGAAGATTTTTTCACTGAGGTCCATTATATATATAGAGAAAAAAGGAAAGATAAAAGAAATCATTAAAGTTGAAGAGGTTGAAACAAAAAGAGGGAGGGAGAGAGAGCAAAATGGAGTGGAGGAAATGGTACTTAGACGCTATTATTGTGCCCTTAGCTCTTGTGATGATGCTTTGTTACCACATCTACTTGTACTTGATGGTTCGTTCACATCCCTTCTCCACCGTCCTCGGCATTAACTCTCGCGGCCGCCGGCTCTGGATTTCTGCTATGATCAAGGTTTTATCACCTCCTCGAATTAATCTATTCTTACTCACAATCTATAACATTAAAAATCCAAAAAGAGAAATATAGTCTAATAGTTTTGTGATGTTGTACGTTGGTCGAGACATGGAGATTCTTATATAAGTCTTAATTAAATTTAAACTGGGATCTCTAATTGCAAAAGAAACAAACAAAAAAAACTACAAAATCAGATTGGATAAAAAATCCAAAAAAATAAGAGATAATCATCGTATTATCGTAATGTTAATTAGTTGAGTTGTGGTTGATTAGTTTTGGTTTTGGTTTGTTTTTGTCAATTTATCATCAGGAGAATCACAAGACGAACATATTGACGGTACAAACACTGCGTAACATAGTGATGGGAGCTACACTGATGGCTACCACCTGCGTGCTCCTCTGTGCCGGTCTAGCCGCAGTGATAAGCAGCACTTACAGCATCAAGAAGCCCCTAAACGACGCCGTTTATGGTGCTCATGGAGATATCGCCATAGCCGTCAAGTACCTAACAATTCTCACAATCTTCATATTCTCCTTCTTCTGCCACTCTCTCTCTATTCGTTTCCTAAACCAAGTCGCCATTCTCGTTAACATCCCTAATTTAGACCCTAATCCCTCTGGTGACTTGTTTCTCACGTCTGAGTACGTGAGCGAGCTCTTCGAAAAGGGTTTATTGCTCAACACGGTAGGTAACAGGTTGTTCTACGCTGGCTTTTCTCTGATGCTATGGATCTTTGGTCCCATCCTCGTGTTCTTGAGCGTTTTGGTGATGGTGCTTGCTCTTTATCACCTGGATTTTGTGCCTTGCAGCAGCAATAAAGAGAAACAAAGTGGATTGTCGTCGCGCCTCTGATCTTCCAAATGTTGATGATGATTCATGATATGATAGTATTGATGATGACGTCATATCCTCCGGCTTGTTGATAATTGCACTTGGATAGTTTCTCTTTATGTGGTCTTGGTTCTATACTTTGGGCCATTTTTTTATTATTTCGCTCCATAAACTCCATCATATATATATATAGCGATATTACTTTCATAGCCATGGAAATTTGAAAGACGTTTTGAATGATAAAATATAGCATAAACACAAAACGTGAAAGAAATAAAACAGAGTATATCAGTCACAGTCATCACCTAATTTAACATGGTGATTTCAAGCATCACTACTTATTTAGATATTCATATTGTAAGCACGTAAACCATTAACAAGATATGAGTTCGAGTTTTACTAGTTATGCATACGTAAGGTAGATCGTAAGACTTTAAAAAATTAAAAGTCCACTAGGATCGAATGTTCTAGTTAATGAAATATTTTATCTTAAAAGCTAATCTAGAATACTTTTGGGTTCTATTTTCGGATCTAACGAACTTTAAATTTTCTAAAGAAACATTTCCTAGTTTGTTTCTTTTTATTGTTTTGTTGTGAACTATTTTAGCTTTTGAAAGGAACCGCAGATCAAAAGGAAATAAAAGTTGGGTAACCCAAAAGTTAAATTAACATTAGAGAAATATAAAAGTATTTCTGGTGCTGGAGAAAAGAAACGTCTTTAGATCTGCTTTCGAAAAAGCATATGACGAAAAGTAAGAGAAAACAAAAGCATGAAAGAAGAAGAGAGGTCATATTGTGTTGTTGATAGTTACCGGAAATTTCTCAAGTTAATTGTTGGGTATTGTTAATGGTGATAAATCATTTTTTACAGTTTTACAATATGATTTTCTTACGGTTTTTCTATCATTCAGATAATCAAGTGATTTCGCATATTACTATACTTATGTAATACTCCCTCTGTTCAGAATTATTTGATGTTTTAGAAGGTTTTTTTTGTTCAAAATTATTTGATATTCTCACTTTTCAATGTAAAATTTAATGAATTTTTATAGTTTTTGACTTTTTATATTCTGCAGTCTTCTTATTAGCTGAATGATATTTAAATGAATTATAAATAATATTTTTAGTATAGGAAAAATAAAATTAAATGAATCCTTAAACTGTGTGCAAAAACTTTAAACATAACAAAGGGAGTATATATTAAACAATATTCATTTATTAATATAATTCTTTTAGCGTTTTCATAAAATTATTTAGTAAAAACTTAATTCAGTTTTTGTGTCTCTATAGTTCTGTCATTCGACTATGCCATTATTGCACCATTCGTCTAATATGTCAATAATCACCAGCGTTGTTTTGGTTCATTTTAAAAAATAATTCACAAGTATATCGTAAATCTTGAAATAGTCGTAGATAACTTCATGTTCAAATTCAGATATGATTTACATTGACAGTGTCTCCGGCTACCTTAGATAGTCTTCTCTAGTTAAAAAAAAAAAAGATTAAAAGTTATCATTAGCATATAATTGGCACCATATTCTCGTATAAAACTGTTGACATATAGAGGCTAAGGAAGAAAATATACAGAGCCTAAGATCTCGCTGGCTTTGCTTTTCTATTCTCTTTTGTTATTGTTGTCATGAAAAGAAAAAAGTTGGAAAATGTGGACGTTGCATTGACAAAGCAAGTTTAATTTTGCTTAGCCATTAAGAAGCTTTTTACAACTTTAGTAAAGCAGGGAGGGTTATATAAAGAAGATGTCTATCACAACTTACTCTTCCCCTCCTCCCTCTTTTCCCACCAATTTTCTTCTTCTTGTGTGTTCACATTGAAAGATATGGATAATCGCACAGCTAAAGACATTGGTGTGAAGAGAAGTGCTTCTGAGTTGGATTTACAAGAGTGTCTCATGACTAAGGCCTTGTCTTCTTCTGCTTTATCCAGACAAGAATCTATTCCTGACACAAGCCCTCTAGACCCTTCTTTTGGTCTCATGAACCAGGTTAGTCTTCGTTGTTTTCCTTAGTTGTCTGTTATGTTCATATCACTGTTGCTTGGGTCTATACAAGATCCAGAGATTGCAGTAAGAATCTTGGTTTTTATTTTGGTTGCAGGATTACACATGTGAGTTAAGAGATAGTCTTTTGTTATCTGAGAGCTTGGTTGCGGCTGGACTTTTTCTCGATGCACAGTCCTCGATCTGCGGTATGTCCGTATCTTGAAATCATGTGTTCTCTGTAATAAGTGTCGGTGCAGTTGATATTAAGTATGGCTTTTATCTGCAAAGAAAATCTGTCAGCTGATAGTCCAGTGTCAGCCAATAAACCTGAGGCAAGAGGAAGAGCTCGGAAAACTGCGAGTGGATTTTCTCATGATCAGTCTGATGAAGAAGATGCAGAGACAGAAGCTGGCCAATCTGAAATGAATAATGACCCCAATGATCTAAAACGTATTAGAAGGTATTGTTTTGCATACCGATAAAAAGTTAGATGTGAAACACAGAGAGAGATAGAAGGTGATCACCCTTTTTTAATTTTTTTTTTCGTGATGTGAACTCAGGATGTATTCAAACAGGGAATCAGCAAGGCGGTCTAGGAGAAGGAAGCAAGAACACTTGGCAGATCTTGAATCTCAGGTAAGGTTAACAAATAGCTGGCTTAATGCTTTTTTCTAATGGGATTCGAGGGTTGTGTTTTTTTTATGACATTTGCTTTCTTGAAGGTTGATTCTTTGAAAGGAGAAAACTCAACACTGTACAAGCAGCTCATAGATGCAGCACAACAATTTCGTAGTGCTGGAACAAATAACAGAGTTCTCAAATCAGATGTTGAAGCTCTGAGAGCCAAGGTATCATCGATCAGTTGAACTTTCAATAGCGGAAGTAATAACTGGATTTTGCTAAGTTAAGTAACTTACAGGTGAAACTAGCAGAAGATTTGGTAGCTAGAGGGTCCCTCACTAGCAGCTTGAATCAACTTCTGCAAACTCATCTAAGTCCACCACCACAGTCCATCAACAGTCTGCACTACACAAGAAATACATCACCCGCCATTACAGTCCACAGCGACCAATCTCTGTTCCCTGGAATCACACTTTCTGGGCAGAACTCAAGCCCTGGACTTGGTAATGTATCCAGCGAAGCTGTTAGCTGCGTCTCAGATATCTGGCCATGAGTCTCTTTCTTAACAATGTGCAATGATCACTCTTCGAATTCCCTGTATGTGTTTCACTATATAACTAGAAACATATAATGAAATCGACATGTCGTTATCAAACTCAAGTTTCGTTAACAAAATTAACAGCACTAGCAACCTTCTTTTGCACCCTGTTAGATATACATGAACTTGGAAAAAATGAAAACAACAAAAATCAGGGTTGTGTATAACATATACTTTATTGCTTGAAATACTGCAAATAGTACAATGGAGTATTATGTATAAGATTAAGATGTATAAGACAATAAATTACATTCCTATAAGGGAGTTGCTCGAACCAGATCTTTAAGCATACAAACAAACGGAAAAAAAAAATATTGATCTTCACACTTTACTTTCCAGCAATGTCTATTACCTGTTTGAGACGATTCCAAGGACCGCTGTGTATATTGTAACATGAGCAGGCAAAACTAACATAGAAAACCAACCTTAGTTGATTAGGGGCGAACCCATCTCCGAATCTGGACCCATACCACTTGCAATGGAGAATTCTTTAGGCAAGGGGATATTTAACTCTGAGCAAACCAGCCTGATGATACTAGCCGTAACACCTCCTAGAGACATCTTGTTGAGTGTTATTGCAATGGAAAATCTGTTTTTGATGTCACAGAAGCCTGTTGATCCTCCCATCCCTGAATGTCCAAAACCAACTAGAGACCCATCTTGTGAATTGACGCGCTTAAAACCAAGTCCAAACTTCCCATCAGGCAGTACTAAGCCACCGTAATCTCCAGCACCCATAAAAGCATCATGGATCCTCGGGTTGCTAAAAATACAGCGAATATCATCTTGATGATCATTGCTACTGATCTCAGTTTTGCCAGCAGAACTGCTAGTATCATTGACTAGCCTGGCTAAACTTTCTGTACTTGACTCTCTGCCGCGAACAGCCCGCATAAACCGCTTCTCATGATGATCTTTAAGCTTTTCTGTAGCTGCCATCTCCTTACCCTTTCTCTTTTTCGTTGTGTCATTTAATGATGTAAATTTCGGAACATGGGTGTGGCTGCCAAGTGGTGGCTGGGATAGAGAGGAATGTGGCGGTGGCACTAGGCCGCCATCTGCTAGGGTTGCATAGTATCGTGCAAGTGCACGAGCCGAGCAATGTCCATTGGCCGCAGGGATTATGGCTCTGCGCACATTCAAGGTGTTGAATAATACTGGCAAGCTGGTTGCCATTTGTAGGATCTTCTCAGGCTGAAATGTGGAAGGAAGCTCAGGCTGACTGGAAATGGACGGAAGCTTGCTTAGTTCATCCATGTCAGCCATCAACGTGGCAAGCCGAGATTCAACACCTATCGTTAAGATATTAGATAATTCTTAACTAAGCTAGTAGCCTAATTAACAGTGTTTAATATTTTACCTGGAGGGATTCCAATGTACAGTTCTCCATCAATTTTTAGGGGTTTTACAATGGATTCTTCAAGGATCTCCTGGAATTTCTTTCCAGAAGCATACTGTTCATGGTTGATGAAAGCAAGATTGACATCAAAATAGTAGAGGTAAGAGTTTTACGCTTAAGCACACAGGTCAACAATGAATGATATAACTAATTTACCTCGATGATTCCACCACATAGCCATCCAAACGTGAGATAGTGATAAAACTGCTGACTGCCAGGCTCTGTTTCAGGTGATGAGTTAGCAATCCGTTTCAAACATTCATCCCAGTCACAAATAAGCAGAGGATTTTCTCCTACAGGGTCAAAGGCACTGTGCAGCCCAGATGTATGGTTTAGCACATGATGGACCTGAAATACAAAACCGAGGGAATAAAATGAAAAGGCAATATCTCACGATAGCTTGCAAAAAAGGTTACGTGAAAGACTGACGGTGTTGGTCCTTATACCTTTATGATATCTTTTCCATTTGATCCGAACCCTGGCCATATATCTCCCACAGTCTGGTCGAGCTGGAGTTTTCTGTATCATTAAATACTATACATTACTAAAGTATGACTAAGCATGAGTTCTGCAAACGAGATCATGTAATTAACAATGAGACTAATATGTAAGAACTAAAGCCAATTCGGAATGTCAGGGAGTATGAAATGAACACATGAGAAATTTTGCAAGCTTTTCTTGTTGTTACTTACCTTTGGTCGACAAGCCAATGCATCATTCCGGCAGTGACACCCTTTGTCACAGAGAAAACGGGAAATAAACTATCAGGTTGAACTGGACGAGGGTCATATCTTCCAAGCACTCCAGCAGCAGTGTCGATAATGACTTTCCCATCTTTATATGCACATACCTACATAAACATGACTAAGTTTAAGAAAAAAAAAAAAAAGAAGGTAAAACTACATCAAAGCTGCCTGCAAGCCAGACCGTAAAAGAGCATTGTCCACCTGAATTCCAAGTATTTTTTGGATACTCCCAAGTTCAGCGAGCAGCTTCCTCAGTTTGGACTCTACATCAGAATGGATTGGCGAATCATGTATCCACTGAGCGTCTACAGTTGGTCCTCGACTGATACTCCTGCAAAATCACATTATAGTCATACGAGGTATATCATAAGGAGATGATAAAATGAGCTGAAAAATTCAAAGGGGACTTACCCCATCAGAACAGATTCGGCAAATGGTCTCATGATGTCCAGATAAACAATCCGAACATTCATAATGGATGAAAGTCCTATATAGTCGATAAATAAAAACAATAAGAAATTAGTGAGGTACTATCAATAAGCAAAGTCCTTTGATGTAAGGTAACGTAGTAGAAGTCACACATCTACCTCTGAGTAGATTAATGACCCTGGCAAATATAACAATATCACCAGGAAATGCATCTACCTGCATCAAATGTTCTCATTAAGATATAGATGGTCACTATAAAGGCAAATACTTGAAACTTGAAAGAAATGCATGCTTACCGGATTGAAGCGTTTAACTTCTTTCGGGCTGAGCTGCATCTTCTCCTGTATAACTTTCATATTTTGCGTTCTTTGATCGTTCAAGGATTTCAACGTTTTCTATAAAGAGAGGTATCTGTAAGAGCGGATCCACTATAGTTACCCAAAAAAGAAAGTCAGGCAATGAAAGGAAGAAGTAGATAACTTACCAGAGCCTCATTTGATGGAGTTGAAGATCGGAAGAAGAGACTCGCCACACTCATAGCCTGATCTGGCAGATCGAGCCGCAGCTTCAGTCCCATTTCTGCAAAGGCAGACAAAAGCGCCACTTGGTCGCCCTGTGACATTACGCAGTTAAACACCAAGCTATGGTCTAGAATTTTACAAACATTTCGGATGAACAGAGTGCAGTTGGTTTAGTTGTTTTTTTAGTTGTTCCACTGTTTAAAACATTTCAATTCTTTTAACGAACAAATTCATCATTCTAATATCCCACAATATGATCTACTAATGGGTTGGGTAAGACAGGGTGAAAAAGAGAGATGTATTGCATAAACTTTCACAAACCTCTGCCGATGCTAGAAACATCTTGGCTAGTGCTTGTTTTAAGGGGTGTGAGAGTTTTTTTGTAAGCCCAAAATCAAGCAAAATAGGACGGTGTGGTGGTTCCTTACTAACAAGAAAATTTCCTGCAACACAGAGTAGATGTATACCTCTATTACATGAAAACTATATGCTAAGCCAGCATGGTGGTTACAACACAGAAAATAATTGGCGGACTCCAGACAAAAATTTCGTGTCAAGGACCATACCTGGATGAGGGTCGCCATTAAAAAACCCATCAACATATATCTGATGGGCATATGCGCGAGTGATCTCTTCAACGATCTTTTGTTTATCCACACCAAAAGCATCTAGAGATTCCATGTCATTCAAGCGAAAACCATCCATGTACTCAAGAATGAGTACACTCTCAGACGACTGTCATTTAGAGCAATAAAGGAGGCGGAAGACATAAGTAGCACGCAAAGAAAAAAAAGGAGCAGCTTTCAGCTTCAAAAGATTTTTGTAATGATGCATTCAAGTCAATAATAAATATCTGAGATAATCTGTCGTACACAATGGCTACATTGGTCCTCTTCACGCATTTTCTAAGTAATATCAAATATAGACAACGTGCTGCATCAGAGATACCATAATACAGCATTACCAACAGTAAACATGACTGATCCATATATATAATCCTTTTAGCATTTGGATGTCTTCTGTGAATCTCACTAAGGGGATTGATGTTTCCATCGTAGACTTAAAACTGTATATGAAATTTATTATGTCTGTATATTTCAGAGTAAGACAAGAGCACAAGAGATAAGAACCTGAATTATATCTGGAATTAAGACATCAACCCGATTGTCACTCTTAACTTCATCATTTGTCTTTTTGCACCCGAGATTCCTGGATACGGTTCTAGTATTTTCTACATATTGAGAAACAGAACATAAAAGGGCATACTCAGGAAATGCAGTTCTGAGTGACGTGTAAAAGAATAGAGACTAGGAAATATACTCAGACTTGGATAGGACATCAACGACACAGAATTCTGCCTATTTTCCTATTTTTATTTTTTACCATGTTGTTATCTCGGACACAGCCATGTTTGAGAGTTAACAGAAAATGTGATTAGAAATGGTAAGATCATGCATAAGCCAGAGTCAACAATTGCCAACGCAAGAAAGTTTGGCAGAGATAAATATCAACCCAGCAAACTCTATCTCAGAACCACTATCTCATGCCAAAAACTTGATCACCGAAGCGATTACAAGCTTTAGTGCATACGATGAAATTTAAGACGATTCATTATTTATGCAAGTGAAGCATACCAGCTTCAATATTGAAGTCTAGTTCTCTTGGAGCTTCCTTGCACCATTCATCTATCATGGGGTTAAAATCGTACTGTGGTTCTGCCCAGGCAATCCAGTCAACAATGGACTTTGCATTCTTTAAATCCTGTTAATAAATGAAAAGAGAAGAGGAGTTGAATGAAGTGTCAACAGTCATATAATAGCTATAGCTCCCACTGTGCATCGCAAAGGCTTCAAAACGAAACAAAGACAGACCTCCAATATTATCGCTCTAATGCCAGCATGCTGAACTTTAACAACCACATCCTGGCCATTAGCTAGAGTTGCACGATGAACCTGTGCTATCTACAAAACAGAGAGCTCGCTATCATAAGAAAGCACACGACTTTCTAGTCATACAGTGGCTTAGAAGCATCTGGCTCCTTCTATTAACTTGTGAGCATATGTGCATCCCAGGCTCAAACAGATTTCAGAATGTTACCGAAGCAGTTGCTAAAGGTTCGTCAACAAAATCGGTGAACAGAACATCCATGGAATGCCCTAGTTCTCGTTCAATGGTTCGACAAACCTGAGAGAGAATGTACATATAGAGCAGTCACTATCAGAGAACTTCAAAATCAGGTTACATTGGCAACTATTAGAATATAAAGTTGAAAACTTTTGCTTCTCCCTTTACATCCTCTAATAATGTTGACGTTCAGGTAGAATAACAACCTCTTGTAAAGGGCGAGGAGGAAGCGAGTCCTGCAACTGCGTGAGAAGAGATATATAAGCCTGAGGAAGGACATCAGCACGAGTGGATAGATACTGCCCAAGTTTCACCCATAGGCCTTCCAATTCCACTATCAAATTCAATACTCGCTTGGCATTACGATCATGAGCTTTCTCCCATAAAGCAGGAACTTTGGACTTCTTAATCCACTTCTCTCTTTGCTGGACACCCTTCACGCACAGAACAACAATTGTGACTTACAAAACAAAACACTACAAAACGAACAGAAAAGAAGAAAAAATGAAAAAGAGGAGAGATAAGAGATTAGAGCTTACCTTATAATCGAGGTAAATAAGTATAGCTACTGAGAAGACTTTCATTCGTCTTCTGTAAATGTTTCCCCAACCCATTGATACAAACTTACGCCAAACTCTCTGGATATTTGCTAAGAGTCTAACGAAAAACGATAAGAGATAATCCACCGCTACTGACCACCGATTATTCTACAAAATCAGATCAAACCGAGCATTCTAAAGATGCTGAATTTGGGTAATAACGATGCTGAAACAAACCGATTGTGACAAATTGGCAAATTAGAAACTGGGATCAGCAAAAAAGCTAGAGAAAACAGAGAACCCAGATCTTGAAAATGAGGAAATTATACCTGGAGTGAACCAGAATTGCTTCCGCGAAATCGCGAATTCCGCATATAAATAAGCAGATGCGTGAAATATAATACTCTTAAGTTGAATTATCTCTTTCAAAATTCGCAAAATGTCTTTTGAAAAAGCTTCGAGAAGCTTTTTTGGTAGGTGAGAGCCGAACGTAAGGATTCGTAGAGAAAGATGAAGACAAAGATCTACAAAAGCGCGTCATGCGTTTTCTTCAGTCTTCTTAATTTAAAAAGTTTTTTTTTTTTGGGGGACGAAACGAAAAGTAAAACCAAAACCCCCGCGAAGCAATGAATCTATACCGCAGATTCTTATGGGACCCACACATCTCTTTTAGAATATCAGATCTAATGAATCTTTGTGGCTTTTTATTGACGGGCCCATAAGCCCAAGTTTTGTGATCCTAAATGGGCCACGTAACTCGCTCGGTACAAATATGCGTCACGGAAGAAGCGTTTGGTAACCAACCCACCCACACATATAAACCACACATGGCACATGAATTTGTGATTCAATCAAATGTATATCATTTCGTTAATTTTTTGTATTTTATATTGACAAAATATATAAACTGAAAATTAAAATACAATTGAACTCTTTTTGATATATCATTGTAACTCTTATAATTGAATAACTTTATATTCAGTTCTAAAAAAACATATATTGCTAGTCAGACTTATAAAATTATAACAATTTTTGCAATACCGGTTAACATGTAAACCATTATTTCATGCAAGGTGCAACAGTGCAAGCACTAAAAAATGTTCAATTGATAATTATCATACGATATCTCAAGCCTATTTAATTACAACTCGCAGATATAAAATGTAGCTAATAACTTAATTAATGTCTTGAAAGCATTAAAGTTTTAACAATCTAAGAAACATGGTTTCATCAATTATTCCACTCCTTCTTCTTCTTCTTCTTTTTCAATTAACACTAGCCACTCATAACTCTGGCCTTGAAGATGATCTCTCCAATGATCAACCAAGCGGCTTCTTCTTACCATTCGAATCCAATCTCTACGTTGAGATCACCATTGGAACCCCAACACGAACCTTCAACCTCAAGCTAGACTCTTCCACACAACTCACATTTCTTGAATGCGACCCTTGCGACGATGAACACCAATGCGATCTCTCCGACACAACTCGACGCTACGACGGAAAATTTTCGACCACTTTCTCACCAATCTCATGCAACAACTCTTCTCTCTGTCCACATCTCTCTCCTAATGTAACCAACCATTACAATGCAACAAAAACAACAGCTTCTCTGTCTCTTCTCTGCACTCCTTCCAATTTCTGCCGTTACGACGTCGCTTCTTTCAGCGCCGGCAACCTCGTTTCCGACACTCTTCAGTTGACTTCCTCGATCACTGACCAAGAAAACTCTCTCTCCATAGTTCATGGTTTTGTCTTTGGTTGTGGGACTAGTAATCGTGTGAAGCCGGAGGACGACGGAGGCGGCGTCGACGGGAGAGTGAGTCTGACGACTCATCATTTCTCGCTCCTTTCTCAGCTTCGAATCACCAGATATTCTCACTGTCTATGGCCTTCCTCCGCTGGCTCGCGTAACTACATTCGTCTCGGATCAGCGGCTGAGTACGGTGGTGATATGATGCCGGTTCCGATGTTAAACATGACGGAGACCAACTCTTACTCGTATCACATTGCTCTCTTCGGGATCAGTCTTGAGGAACATAGGTATAATTATAAATATAATATATATATAGTTTATTTTTTAATCAATCCACGAAAATGTTGCTTATATAATGGTTACGTAAAATGATATGATTTAACTTGACAAAGTCCATAGACAAAGCTCTTGAAAATAACTAGATAATGATTGCGATTGTCAGTTGTTTCCTCGGACTATTGCGATTTGAAAATTTTGAATTAGTTTTACGTTTACAAATTGTGGTTTCCTCAGATTATTGGAAAATTATTTAAATAAAAGAATGGACAAAATTCTCGAAAATATCATATTTTATGTTTTGTTTTTCAGAACCATCAAAAATCTAAAAACTCAACACCATAAGTTCCTAGGTTTATTTGCAAAAATATAAAGGAAATAATTTTTTTTTATCTTAAGAAAATGATTTATTTTTCAGAGGAAAATGCAAGTGCAGAAGTTTGTTATTCTTTGTTTTTTTTTTTTTTTGAGAAAAGGCTTGTTTGTTATTCTTTGTTTAAATGTAAATATCCGTTATATTAACTGGTTTTCATGACAAACTTTTGTTTCAATTAGAATGAGAAGCAACGAGAGTAGTACGATGGCCATAGATATTGGAACGTACTACACGCGTCTAGAGATATCACTCTACGAGGAGGTGAAGGAAGAGATAATGACGCAGATTGGACCAACAGTCGCATACGAAGTGAACGAGCTAATGTGTTTCACAACCGAAGTTGGTTTAGAGATAGAGTCACTGCCCAAACTCACTCTTCATTTCCAAGGATTCAATTTCACAATCTCAAACAAAGGATTTTATCTCCGAGACAGCCCATCTTCTTTCTGCACGGCTTTGGTCAGATCGACCATGGAGGATGAAGAAAAGAATGTGCTTGGAGCATCAGGACTTTTTGATTTTGCAGTTGGCTATGACACTTCAGAGAGAATGCTTGCCTTTCAACAAAGAGATTGTTTGGCCGATTTCGTAGATGGTATTTAGTAAGACTTATCGAGTTTTAAGTAGTCTTTTTTATAACCTAAATTTTTTTCGATAATGGTTTCATCATTTGCATATCATATTCATAGACATTATCTTTACAAGACAATGTGGTGATTATTTTATAACCAAACTTGTCACGCAAAACATTGGATATGTAGGAATTAATGTCAAAATTGGTCAAAACTTATGAGTCAAGAAATTACACAATACAAACTTGCACAATATCAAATTCATATACTTCGAGAAGATGACACTTGTAATGTTGAGTATTTTCACTCTATGACATTAATAGAGAAGTGTTCTTTAAGAAAATAAAGCACTTTCATTGGGGACCAAGAGTTTTATTTAACTTTTATAGAATGAGTGATATTTATATGTAACATGTTATTTTTCTACTAGATATCTAACATTTCCAACTTAGTAAATAGAGCTTTAATTAGGTTTTGTAGAACACATAATTTTTCGCATACTACATTTTATATGTGGATATTTAAGTACGACGAGGATTTATATCTATTTACTTTATATAACGTCTATCTTAGAATATTATATTATTTATCATCAATCATTAATTTCAACTAGAGATTACATGACGATTATGGAGCTTTTACGTAATATGGATATTTCGTGTAAGGATTGATGAACCATCTGAACCAAATGAGTACTGCATGTACTAGACGTTGAAGGGAAACAATAAGAAACAAGAACTAAGTTGATATACTTTAAACATTTTTACCTCAAAGATGATTACGAAGGGAAAAAAAAAATATGTAAAACGTAGTTAGCAAATACGTAAGGTTTACTGGGAAAAAAATCGTAAATTTTCTTACTTTCAAATCTACCGATTTTTATAAGAAAATAATCCAACTTATCAAATTGATGGATATGTTTTAAACATTCAAAAGTCTTATTGTTTTTTTTTGTTTTATATATAAACAAAATCTTATCAGTGACAGATATCTCTAGAATAGGTTGCGAATCACTTCCCTGACAAATGATGAAAAAGTCGTTTCAACACCAAAAAAATATCTTAGCTAGCTGTTGACAAAAAAAAAAAAAAAAAACAATATCTTAGCTTTGAAGCTTGGATATTTACATGGCCCGACCAATATGTATGCAAAGAGATAAGGGCGGTGCATTGTTGGCGGCCACAGTTCCCTTTACGTTCCATTTTTGGTTTTCCATTTATATTAATAAGCTATATCATCAATATATATATATATATGTATATAAACCGGCAAGCTGTAAGGAAATAATGTTCTAAAATATACCAATACCCTAACGGTCCTGGTTTACATCAATCTTACCTAATCATGTATAATGTATATTATGTACAGATTTAGGTAGGCGGTCTTTTGAATTAAAAGTAAAATTTGTATTGATCATACAACTATATAAGTCTATAAATATCATCGACTAATTAACCAATCGAATCCACTAAAACTAAACACCAGTTAATTTATGGTAATAGTCTTTGAGCAATAAGGAAAGCCTGTCAGCAGACCCAACGCTATCCGCCTATCCCGTTATTGAAGTCAGGGCCCTCTTATATAGAAATATTCGGTAACTGTAAATTATAACCACTGTTTCAGACTTTCAATTTTGTGTTTTCAACAAATGTGAGGTTTGTGTAAGTTATGAAGACACCCCAAGTTTTTGACTATGGTCATTAATTCGAGGAGCGTTATAAGACTTAAAGATTGAAGATAAGAATAACTGACAATCTATTATATATATGCACCTTTATATGTTTTAATTATAACTTCGAAGTTTCCCGTATATATTCAAAGGTCCGAATAAACGATAACATGTAGAGTTTTAAAGACCTGAACATCTAAAATGTTTTTTTTACTGTTTGCATAAATCTGTAGAGAAAAGTACATCCCTCTATATCCAATCTACATACAAATCTGTCATGATTCTTTTTCTATTCTCCGTTCCGTTTTAGTTGATTCTTATTTAGCATGGAGGCCAATCACCACTAATGCAAATAATTATTTGACTTCAATATTCTTTTAAAGAACTAAAATATATATAATTTGCTTCAAAGTAGTGGGACCAATGCGCGCACCATCTTATATATCCCCCCCCCCTCACTCTTCCATGCGGTTCCATTCGCAAAATTATAATTATATAGAATATTTTTATGTGTTGATATTAATTTGTATGCAGTATAAATTTGCTTAATTACAAATATAACAAATGAGATATGTACAGATCAAATAACTTATCCTCTTTCTTTTTTAAATCATCGATAAAATTTATCCACTCAATTTGGATGATATACTTCACGCGACCTCAATTCTGCTAGAATATCACCATATGCACAAAAAGTTTTCAAATCCTTAGATTTACCTGGCAGTCCAATCTTAATATTGGGTCTTAAGTTTATATATTAGAGCTAATAATATGATTGAAATTTTTTGATCTGGAAAATATATAGACAAATTAATGTATTTTCTTCTAGATGCAGCACTGTTAAATTTGGATCCGAAAAACTTAAATTAATTCCTTTGAAAATGACTTAACAGAACATTTTATATAAGAGCTCTTTATATAAATATATAATAAGTTAGGTTGAGAGAATCGATTTATGTAAAGATTTTGAGAAGTGTACAAGATTTTATGAGTGGATGGTGGAAAGGCCGTGCCGTGAGAAAGGCCGAGTCTTTTGACATTATAACATTATTGCCTTTATGTTGAGCACTAGAGCCACTTGCTTTTACGAATCTGTAGCTGATTGTCGAATATTTATATCACCATATATGAAAAAGTATATAATATTGGACCGGAGACGTTGTATAGTTATTTCTCTCTCTCTCTCTCTCTCTCTCTCTCTCTCTCTCTCTCTCTCTCTCTCTCTCTCTTATAAATATTTCCTCTCATTCCACTCCCTAAACCCATCACAGACACTCATATCAAGTTTGGTGGACATGCGTGCCCAGCGGAGTAAAATTGCATGAAGTTGAGTAGAGTATAATGCAGCCAAGGATGACTTGCCGGAACGTTAACGTTGTTCATCCATATAAAGATATATTGATATGAAGATGATTATGGTGATGAGCATATTTCTGGCAAGTTGTCCTTCGGCTACATTTTGCTCTCTTCTACTCATGCAAACTCTCCATGGGATATTCTACTTTTTCATTGTTTCAAGTCGACGATGTGAAACTGTACTAACAGGACGTTGGTATTGATCAGAAGTCTAGCATCGGTATAATATATCTTTCTTTTTTTTGAACTATGGTATCATATATCTTTATTTATACATATTATTATTTGATTAATGTTTTTATTTTGTGAAGTTTAACAATATCAAAAGAGGGTTGTTTGTTTCTTAGTACGAAAACTTATTGGAACATATTTAAAAGAGGCTAGATTTTATGCAAAATCTTTGATGAACTAGATATTTTAAAGAAATATGTATAGCTCTAGACAAAAAAAAGATGTAATCATAAGTTACTTAAACTATCCAAGTATATGGAGAGTAAATATCAATGACATCTGATATTGAGTATGGCGACCATTTCATTGCTGTTGCTTTTTCTAACTTCATCGGCCACACGGTTTCCTTGATAATTTTTGTCGCAGTAGGAGAGAGCTTTTGTTTTTTTTGGCGGCTCATAAGTTTCGCTGCGACATGATCGACATGGCCTTACAATAGAACAATTATAATTTCTAAGAGAACGAACCTGCTTGCATTGACCGTCCTAATGTATACATAGATTTATTATGGTCACAACATATACAGATAATACTATAAAGAGAGTGCAAACATCCTCTCAGATATACGTATGGTGTGGTTATTTGGATTTTTTTATATATTGTCAATTATCCTTTTAATATACCGTCTAATATACAATATATAACAAAAAATCAAAATCGCAGGTTGTTTTCTTGGTGATAAACTCAGATGTAATATTACGTAGCAATCAAGGAAATTATATAAAGGCGAAGCAGAAAAGAAGCCGAAATTTGTGGAATATGTTGAAATGTGCGTTGTCGGTTTTGGGAATCTAAGGTACTGTAGGCCGACAAAAGTAAAAATGTATAAAGATTTTGGTCAGGCAATCATAAATCCAAATCTTTGTGCATTTCAACAATGACTCTCATCATCACTTTCCTCTTTAATATGTATCAGCTTTTTACTTACGTGCATTATCATCATGTTCATATGACATCCTCTTTTCTTTTACTTTTTTTTGTTGTTTATAAATTCTGCTGAGAAAATACAGAACCGGATAGGACAGGAACAAAATACCACCATTTACAAGGAAAAGCAAAGACCACTTACTCTCAGTTTTGATATGTTTCTAATAAAGATATCACATGCACAACTACTCATTCAGGCTAATAACTTAATTTATAAGCTGTTGAAGGATTTGTTTAGTATTAGATTGATAATATTTAGAGTAGCTATTTCTTGTTGTGAACTTTTCTAATGATCTAGCTATACAATTTTTACTTCTTTATTCTCTTAACTCATACTGTAAATTTCTTGAATAACTAACATATTAATGTTAAGGTTTGATACATTAACTCTACCAAAAACACTTAAGAACCAAAAGCTAAAAGATAGAGAGAATTGACAAAAATAAACAAAAGCTTAGATTTAAAATCTCACCACCAAGACCTCGACAACTACAGTCTCGTGACCATTGCATTTCTTAAGAATATTATATCTGACTAGCCTAGAATTAGAAACTTGAATTAATACTATATTCTAAAACTAAAATTTCAAAAAATGCTACCTTGAACACTTCCTTAGGATATAATTATATAAATATATCACCATTTATCAGAGAAATTAAATATGTAGCTCGTTTTAAACTATCATGAAAAGTACGGAGAAGAGAATAATGCATCGTCATGCACGTTACTACTACTACTACTAGTGAGATTGCTTTCCTCTCTACTAACGTTTAATATAGCTTCATGCACATGGACTCATACGGTCATACCACATATTCTTCATTAATTTCAGTCGACAATTTTTTGTTTTTTTGCGTGTGAATTGAGTTTCCATATAAGATACGCAAATCAATTTTGACCTTATACTTGCGATTATATACATCTTTCCTTAACCCTTTCTCAAAAAAAAATACATCTTTCCTCGTCGACCGATAATGCATTTACGTATGGTTCTTCTTATTTTGTTTTTCTTTTGTGTGGGGACAACTGACACTTGAGATTTAAGTTGATCGAGACCAGGCATGTCCAAGGAGAAGCAACTGGCACACAAAAAACAATAAAAAAAGGAGACATTGTAGTACTGTTGAATTTGTCGGGTCTATCATGTTCTCCATTGAGTTAAAAAATGATAACTATAATAATCATCAAAAAGCGGTCAATATAAAAAAGCCAAAGATTTGATTAGGGAACTGGGAAATTGAGGAAAGATATGAGAACGGTCTTACCCAAAATGGATAAGGCCATGAAAAGATTCGAGCGTAAGAAGGATATATATATCGAATATGTTAAGATAACACCAATTCAATATAGGAAAGCTGTGATTGATTTTCCCCCCCTTTCCCCATTTGCGTTTTTTTGCAAGTTGACTACTACGTGACACCACTGACGCACATATGAGAATCAGTATTATTATAAAACATACAATTAAATTTTATAAATGAATATTTTTTTTTTGTTAAAGTTGTAAATGAATATTTGATAAATAATTACATAAATACGATAAAAATAATTGAATTTTGATCAATATAAAATCTACTAATATTCAATAAGAAAACGAGATAACATCTTTACTTAGAAATGAATATATGATCTCATTATCTCAATAATATTAATATGCATATCTAGAAACTACTTTTTAGATGGAATAATTATTTAATACATTAGAGACATGATAATTATATATATTAAAGGCTCTTAATGTTGTTTTCAGCTTCAACAATAATTTTAGTAGACATAACTTCTTATACATTTTTTATCTTTTAACATATATCATTTTTATAGGAAAAGTCCAATAGGCTAGTAACATACAATCTTTGATATCCAATATTGTTAATCTTAACCTTAAGTTCATATATGTCGCTTTTCCCAAATGAATTCATATAATTTTTTTATATAACACCACTAAAACATAATTTTCAAAAATTATGAATTAAAAAAAAAAAAAAGAACCCCTCTCTAAAAATTCGAAATAATTAACTAAATGTATGAAATTTAAAGGCTGCATTAAGCCTGTTCAGGGCTGAGCCGAAAAAAAAACTAACTCATGATAGTTATGGGCTACGGCCCATTACAAGCATGAACCCTAATTTTCGTCATCTTCGTCAAACGTGCCCAGAACGAAGAGCTCAGCTCATGATTTTGATGACATCTGCAGTCTGGATCAGGTATGCAATTCTGATTAATTCGAATATTATTTATCCTCAAGGCGTATGCTAATATCTAAGACATTTTTTATGTAGATCTATGTTTCAGCTAAGATCAGAAGCCATTTTCGTATGAATCGTGTCTGTTCACCGAAGTAAAGCATGTTAAGAGCATAGGCCAATGTGTGTTCTCTAATTTCTACAGGAGATTATCCAAAGCTGTATTGCAATTGTGTTTATGCCATTCTTGCGCATCTTCCAGACCAGCAAGCCATTTTCTTCTGCAAGCTTTGTATCTGCTCTCTGTTGCATAGCTTAATCCATGGCTGTAAGTTTGCAGCTTCTCCTCAGTTTGTTTTCTTGTTTATACTAAGTGTTAACTTTTTTGTTTCATAAATTCGGATGCAGCTTCTCATTTCTTGTGGGGAAGTTTCATCTTCCCAATTTACTGTACTTCGCTTACTCAACCAAAGCCTCGATTTTGTAAGCGACAATGTCTCCAGGATCTTTGCTCGTATCTTCACCAATCTAAGGTATCTGAATCATTTCTCTTTTTCTTGATTCATTTATTGGTTTTCATGACCATCTAAGGTCAATCTGTTTGCTGGTTTTCTGCTTTAATGGATTTGCAGGGACTTTGAAATGCGTCTTTCGTGTACTGACCGTCCTCAATCCATTCCTGTCGATCATTCTCACTTGTACACGGAGAACTGGTTTTCTGATAAGAAAGATTATGACCAGAAAGGAGACCCAGAAGCTATTTTCAACGTGCTCGATTCAATCTTGAAAAGTAGTTTGGATCGTCTGGCTTCTTTGAGGTTTATACTTTAACCAGTAACTTATGGTTTGTATCCCTGGCAATTTTTCATCCGTGAATTGCTTCTGATGAGGTCTACAACTTGCTTCTCTTGTAGGGAGAGTGTATGTAGGAGAAAGAGCTTCAGATACGATGAAACTATATCTATGCACACGTCTATAATGAGGGATCTCTGTTTACAAGGGAAGTTGGACGCTGCTCTCTGGCTACGGAAAAAGTTGATACATGGTGGATTTATTCCAGGTTTGATCACACACAATCATCTTTTGAATGGGTTGTGTAAATTAGGTAATATAGAGAAGGCGGATGGGCTTATTAGAGAGATGTGGGAGACGGGTCCTTCTCCCAACTGTATCTCTTATAACACCTTCATCAAGGGTCTTTGCAGTGTTAACAAAGTAGATAAAGCTTTGTATCTTTTCAGTACAATGGATAAATATGGGGTTAAGCCAAATAGAGTGACTTGCAACATAATCGTGCATGCACTTTGCCAGAAAGGTCTTATGGGAAGCACAATTCTTGAAGAGATATTAGATACTAGCCAGGCGAGCGCACCCTTGGATATAGTCACTTGTACCATTCTGATGGATAGTTGTTTTAAGGATGGAAATATAGTTCAAGCCCTTAGGATTTGGAAGGAGATGTCGCAGAAAGAAGTCCCTCCTGATTCAGTTGTGTACAATGTCATTATTCGTGGTTTATGTTCGAGTAAAAAAATAGTAGCTGCTTATGGGTTCATGTGTGACATGGTAAAGAGAGGAGTAACTCCTGATGTGTTCGCTTACAATACTCTAATAAGCGCCTTGTGCAAGGAGGGAAAGTTTGATGAGGCATGTGATATCCATGGTCAGATGCAAAGATGTGGTGTTGCTCCTGATCAGATCTCATACAAAGTTATCATTCAAGGTCTATGTATACACGGAGATGTGGCCAGGGCGAATGAGTTCCTTTCAAGCATGCTAGAAAGTTATCTGCTTCCAGATGTTCTGCTGTGGAATGTGATTATTGATGGTTATGGAAGATACGGAGATACTAGCAGCGCTGTATCTGTTCGAAATCTAATGCTTTCTTACGGTGTTAAACCAAATATTTACACAAACAATGCTTTGATTCATGGGTATGTGAAAGGTGGAAGATTCAATGATGCATGTCAGTTCAAAGATCAAATGAGATATACCAAAATCTACCCGGATGCTACCACCTATAATCTTCTATTAGGTGCTGCTTGTACAATGGGTCGCTTGTGGTTGGCTTTTCAGTTATATGATGAAATGCTGAAGAGAGGATGTCGACCTGATAATATTACTTATACTGAGCTGATTAGAGGGCTCTGTTGGAAGGGTCGGTTGCAGGAGGCTGAAAACCTTTTGTTTAGAATGCAAGCGTCTGGTATAACATTGGATCATGTTCCATATTGGATTCTTGTGAAGAAATATACCAGATTGCGGCGACTAGACAAGGCGTGTTTAGTTTACAAAAAGTGGTTAATGACAAGGAACGGAGAAGCTGCTTGTCCAAGCGACCTAAATCACATGCATACAGAACCGCAGTAATATGCTACTTGAAACAAGAGACAAAAGTTGTAATTATATTCAGATTATGGTGGATGATTTTGGCTCTCGGGATACACACGGCTATTTCTTCAAAAAAACTCCCAGTATATTTTCTTGTCTGAAACTTGACAAGCTGTTCAATGCAAAGAATATGAAAATCTATTGCTTTCAAGCACCATCTTGGCTTATTATTGCATTACATTTTTTCTATTAGATGCTGCTTCATTTACAACAAGATGCTAACATAAGGGCATATATTCTTGTCTTGAACTATAATTTATAAATTGCTGTAAAAACTATCCCAAAAATTTGATGAAGTTAAGAAAGATGCTTGTGTTACAACAATCAGATGTTCACTACAAAAAGGAAGATAGAATCTAAGAAACATATGCAATGCGTCTGAAAACTGCTCTGAAAGTCTGTCCTCCATTCCTGGCAACTTTCTGACCTTCCTCCGTAGCATTACACAGAAGCTCAACAACAGGATCAGAATCGAGCTCTTCTTGTGTCAAAGACTCAAACATTGGATGTTTCTCCAAGCAAGACCTCATCCACTCTCCAAGCTCCTCAACATCAGTGATTGTGTATACAATCCCACCAGCTCTAAGAACATAAGCATACTCATCTAGCAAATGAGTGCTAATCACTCTCCTCCTGTGATTCTTCTCCTTGAAATGTGGATCAGGGAAGAGGAAAAACATCTTGGAAAGCTGTCCTTTCTCAAAGTAATTCGGAATGTACTTCATCGAGTTTGTCCTAACAACAGAGATGTTCTCGTACTGGTCCCCCGAGCTTGTTCTCCTCAAGGCTAAGATCCGTTCCTTGACGTATTCCGTCACTTTGTCTCTCAGCTCCATACCGATCATTAAGGTATCAGGGAAGAGCGTTGCAAGGGAAATGAGAAGGCCACCGAAACCGCATCCGATATCTGCAAACTCAATCTTCTTGGAGATTTTGCTGTTGGCTTCAACGAATTTTGGGAAGTGAAGTGAAAAGTCGACATGAAGCGGGGAAATCGGGATTGGGAAGTGAGAATCGCTAAGTGGGTTACTGTGAGCTCTTGCTCTGTAGAATCGCTTCCGAGGGAGCCCTGTAGATTTGCTGAAGGTCGGTTTCGTCTCACTGTCCATGATCACTTGACACACAAAGATGATAATCGCAGTGAGCGACATAACAAAACATTGTGTTAAAAATAATAAAGGCAGGTTTTTTTCTCCGACACTAAATTACCAAGATCCGAGATCTGATCTACCTTAAGCATTGCGAAAGAAAGGAACTTTGAACAAACAGAGAAAGAATCTGCAAGACCCAGTAAACCCCTAAACCCCAGTTTTTAAAAGTCTCTGTTCACTGAGAAGACAGAGAGAAGGCATGCCTAAGAGAAAACCAGGAGCATGGATCATAGTTAAAAAATACAATACGAACACATAGAAAAAAAAACAAAACAGACTAAGTGGATTACCTGATTCAATCTGCACCTGGAATCAAAATCTTGAGCTCGTTGTTCTTCGCAACCGAACCTCCGAGACAAGCAGAGAGGCAGGGTCTTGGCTAGTAATTAGGGTTCTCCTACATCAAAGGGCCCAAACACATAAATCGTTATTATTGGGCTTACAGCCCATTTTGATCTCAGACAGACCATATACGTGGAACCGTGAGTTGAACTTAATAGGTGATAAAAACAAATTTTCTCTCGTTCATTGTCTAAATTGATCCCTTAATTGATCTGATATGAGACAGACAATACCTAGGCTTATCCTCTTTGTAAGAAAGACAGACTGTGATGATTTATTACAATATTATTTTCAAAATTTGTGCAAATATATATATATATATATATATATATTTTTTTAAAAAAGAAAAATTAGGTTTTTAAATTTGAAAAAAAAATTATAACCAAGAGCTCTCGTAGATAACATAGTTGCAGATGAGGTAAACCATTCTTTTTGGAATGTTTGTATCGATCAATTTCATCAAATAGATTTGATATATTTGTGATGTGAGTCGTATCTGAAGTGATGGACTATTTACCAATTCGTACATACTCCACGACAAAAGAAGAATCATAATGTACATCCCAATTCGTACATACTCCACGACAAAAGAAGAATCATAATGTACATCTACATCTGCATGTCAACATATGAAGAAAGCGAAAACATCACCACACTGCCTTGCTTGCACCAATAACACACAGTGTGTGTTGGACCATGGCTGAAGGATTACAACAGGTAACAAAAGCTAACTCTTCTCTTCATTCCTCATTCCTCATTCCTTTGTTTGTCGAGTTTTTACTTATTATCTATATGATCAGTATCTCCCTGCAGAATCTATCCAACTTGCAAGGCAGATGTTTGCGAGCCTACAGAGGATGTTGCAGATGAGGATGAAAAGTAGTCATTTCACACCGGAAATGGCTCAGATGCTTTATAATACTCTGACATATTGAAACATATAGTGGAAGCAAATATAGTTTGTCAAAAAAAAGAACTTACCTTCATTCTTTTTTTTTTTTTGGCTCAACATAAACTTTCAATACTCCAAATATTGTTACAAAGCACGGTTATCTTCCCCTACATAAGGATTTGGCACTATAGAATACAGTTTGGAAAGTTACATAAAAGAAAGATATAAAAGTTTGAGTTTGGTTGAGTTTCTTTTGCAAAGTGACTGAATATTATAATACTGTCCATTTTCTTCATTATAAACTTGTACCTTGTATTTTTAATCAAAAGTCTCTTCACAATTTGAGTTTGGTTGAGGCTTCATAGAGTTTTTTATTTTATTTTTGGAATGATCATGTGATCATCCTTTTGAACGACTGTTTTATTCAGGTTGCCAATTTGCTGCATTTCAAAAGGCTATGGTGTCCTTCTTGCGTATTTTACATTAGATTTTTAGTTCTTTTAAAAAAAAAAATCTTTTTACAATTGGTCTTCCATATTGATGTTGTAGGTAAGGTAGTCTCTCCAATTTTTGGCTAATCAACATATGTGGACAACACTGGGAACCGTAAACGTTTTCTTGTAATCCATATTAATCGTGTGGACAACATCTGTGGACAATATTCTTTTATGAATCGTGTAGTATAATTTGTTTAAAACCAATATTGTGCAACAAGATACACCAAAAAAAAAAAAAGAAACATAACTCGTGTGAAGAATATAGCTTCCTCAAGGTACATTGTGTCTCGAACGTCTCCCACTATGACTTCCTCTGAAACCACCAGTATTTGACCTTCCAGCGGTTTGAGCATTACCATGCTTCAATGGCACAACTGTTTCCATATACATCAATCTCCCTGGCCAATGCCTCTTCTCCTTAGGAAGACGACGCAGCTGCTGCACCCAAAACGCAACGTATTCTCCTTCTGGATCATAATTCTGTGCCTAAAAGAAACCAAACACACATTTTTAGTTTCTTCTTCATCACTTGCTGCTGGGACCGGAATATTATCCGAATGTACAAAAAACTACTTACTTGCTTGGGAATGCTGAAGTACCGGTCTTCTCGCGGATCATTTCCAACTCCTTCAATGGGAAAAACCAAAATTCCATCTTAATCTAAAGTGTTCATTTCAATCTCATTGTCAATGTTGAATTAGAAACCACAAGTCACAAGCTGTGTTCCCAAGTGGTATGAGTAGCTACCTGCTCCATAGGTCCAATTTCCGTAATTAGAACACGGATCATAGTCCAATAGACATGTCTCAAACCATTCTGCACCCATCCTCCAGTCCAAGCCCATGTCCCGTACCAGAAACGAACAAACAATCTGGAAAACGATTACTCAAATGGATAAACAATCAAATCATTCATGAAAAGGAAATAGCTTATTTTGGCAGCAGAGGGAAGCTAATCAAAATCATCACCTGTCGGCCTCGATTTGACATGAAACCTGTAGTGGATAACTCCTTCATATTTGCATCTATAAGAGGATACCTAAACCAAATATGAGCAGTGAGCCTCAAGCAAAGCATAGTTTTGAATGAAGACGTCTTGAGAAATCATAATATCAAAATACACACCCGGTCTTGCCGTCTCTCCAAGACTCAAACAGCTTCTTATCTTGACTCCATTTCCCTTGCACATTTCTTGGACCACCTACAAAGAACATATGCTATTTAAAGTTCACTTTTTTGACCAAAAAAACAAAAATTTCACTGTAACCACACTTAGCAAATAAGCTCTTAAACCACTTTGTCAGGTAAGGATCGTTACCTAGATGGAAGAGGGAGTTCCCACACTTGATTGAAAGAAATCTAAAGTAATCCCTCCATATTAATTCAAACAGCACCCTGGAAACATATATTAATCTAATCAATTGGGAAGTTAAAACCAAGAGTTAAGAGAGTGCAACAGAGATTTTAAATTCAACATACCAGTATGTTGAATTATTTGCTACTCTTTCTCTTTCATATCTTTGAACCTGAATATTTTTCAATTACGACATAAGCGAAATCTGCTACATATATGTTTTGGGACACTGACTAAAGGTTTGAATGCTCTGACCTCTTCGTAGATAAACCGAGGAGAGATACACCCAAAGGCAAGCCACGGAGAGAATTTCGTGGAATAATCAGGTCCCAACATTCCGTTCCTCGTCTCTTTGTATACTTTCAAAAGATCCTACACTAAATATGACATACAACATTATGTAAACACATAAATAACTCCAACAGGTAGAGCTCAGGATTTGATCTTGCCTTCTTCCAAAAGTACTCAAAGACTCTGCCTACGCCTGCGCTTTCACCACCCACGAATCGCATTCCTCTGGTCACCTGTATCAACATACATATAAAGACTTTAACTAATAAAGAATGCATTTTTACTTCCGTTTCTCTCTCTTGTTTCACCAGAAGAGCTTCTCAGATAAAACTCACCTCTTGTGGCTCAATTCCAAGCTGACCAAGAGTTGGAACATCTCCCCAGTTATCAACAGAAGGTGTTGGCCCTAGAGACATTGGAATGCGAGTGGAGCTTCTGATCCTACACTTGGCTTCCACGGACTACAAGCGTTTTTTCAAACAGAAACAAACATCGAGATATCAAATAACTATCAAATATCTTCCCTAACATTATGGTGTGTCAACTCAATTATCCGATTCTTTATTCAACTCTATGACTTCATATGATATGTACGAAAAGATGAATCATACCTTACGAAACTGAGTGTAGATATCAGGCAAATCAAAAACATCAAATGGAAGATCATCTTTGTGGTACATCGTGCTTCCCCAAAGGAGCTCAAGCTTAGTGCCATTTCCAGCCCCTTTCAAAGCCTGACTCACAAGTCTTTCAACCTGTAGCTCCTCACTGCACGTTTCTTTATGAGCAAACACCTGAAGATATAAAATATTAACCACATTTCATTTCCCTTAGAGAGCTCTGAAACTTTGGAAAACTTCATCAAAAAAGACTTAACTGTATGAGCTCCAAAGTCTTTGGCAAGAGAAGGAAGAATGTCTTCGGGTTTGCCACTCCGAATAAAAAGATTCAATCCTCTTTTCATCAGATTCTTTCTCAAATCAGCCAAACATTCCATAAGAAAAGCACTTCTCAACGCTGAAAGATTGAATGATCAGATCAAACCATCGATTTCAGAGGCAATTGATTTTGAGATTGGGACATTACCTCCGGTTTTGGGGAAGGCGAAGAAATGAGTCGTGTGAAAGAGACGAGGATCAAGACAGTAAACGGGCAAAAGGGTGTCAGAGGAAGCCCAAGCTCTGTACAAAGCGTCGTTGTCAAGCACTCTAAGATCGTTTCTAAACCAGAGAATCGCGGTTCCTTTGCCGTTTCTCTTCGCTGAAGAAGGCAATGCGTATCTCTCAAACGTTTTTCCGGCGACGGAGTCCATCTCTTCCTCGTCGAGCCCAGGAACACGGTAGATATGGCCGTTCATTTTTGCGGCGGAGCAGAGGAACAGAGAAGATATGTGTTTCGGTTTCGATTGATGGTGGAGGTGAAGGCTGAATCTGCGAAGTGGGTTTGAAAGCGTAGACGAGAGCGACGAAGCCGCCATTTGCGGATGCTTTGTAAAGTGTAACGTCATCCACTTTTTTGACGAGTGTGAGTGAGACACGTGGCGTTGGCTCGTGGACTGTGACGTGGCGGATGTGTAGCCTTTTGTCTGGATCTGGTAGAGTTGTGTCGTTCTGTAAGAAAAGTAGAGAATTGAAGAGGACGATGGTCACGTGCATCTAAATATACCACGTGACATTATTTAAAAAGAGATGGGCTTCGTTGTTTTAGGCCCATTGAGCAGATAAAAACGCTGAAAATGAAAAGGTAGAGTACTTTTTTTTTTGTCTATTTTCAAATCAAATCATTTTTGGCATTTTATGAAAAAAATACCATCGTATATTTTCATCGATCTAAATTAAATATGAATAAGGTATTAGTGAAAAGTTAATTTTTATTGCAAATAGTCTAATAATATTCTTTTACTCGAATATTAAGGATGACCTGCCCAAATGTTATGCGAAACCTAATTATGTAGGAATATTTGCTACATTTAATGTCCGAAGGAGTAATGAAACGACAAGTTTAAAACTTGTTAATTAATGGTTATAAAATTCTATGCCTTATACCTTATGTAATATATGTAACACTCTTCACTTTGATTATGGTTGCTCATAATAAAATAATCAGAAGTTAAAAAAAAAAAAATAGTTATAAACTTCTATGCCTTTAAGGCTTTAATCCGTCATCCAACATTTATTTAGTGGAATATATATAGATCGATAGATGCGCCTTTAAATGTATATGTGTGTCTGCATCTCTACATTCTATTAGTTATAATTTCCTTATATCTTATGACTGTATTTTTAAAATTTTAATTACAAAAACCAATATTATAAATTTATAAAGAAATGTTATTAAAATTCTACACGTCGAAGAAAAAATAATCTAGTGTAACTTAAAGATGCATTCGACCGATGAGTCGATGATATTGACGCATACATAAGGTTATTGCGTACGTGCACTAATACAATCATCGATTGGCTATGCTAGAATACTATTTATATGTTAGGGAAGTGAATGTTGTTAAATTTTCCTAATGTCGAATACTTAATTTTCTTTATAAGAATCAACTTAAGAGATAGAGATTCGCCTACCATTATCGTATGCGTGATTCTCTTACCACTGCGATTCGTCACTATGTAGCCCCACCATTAGGTTTATTGTCCAGGGTTATTTAATTATTGATTTGTCGCTTAAAAGGTGACTGAGTGAATTGGATGACAATGTTTAATCAGAAAGAAATGTGCTTATAATTGCTGGAATCGGGAAGGATGCTAAAGTAACATTAACCGCCGGATTAAATAAGAAAAAATATTGTATGCATGATGACATGAGATTGAGGGATAATACATTATTAAAACAATGATTTGTTCAGTTGTAATATCTATGTAACACTTTGTTTGAGGTAAAAACAAAAACAAAAAATTGGAATGTAGTTAAGTTTTTGTTTTGTTGTGTTCAAATGAAAAAGTTAAGTTTTTCTTGATATATTCAACATTTTTGATGGAAATGTTTTTGATAGTAATTTAAGACATATATATGTGAAATAGCCATGGAGCAGCCGCGCAGGCGACAGATTTTCCATTCCAAAAATAAATGGCTCCCGAATTATCATACATCGGTAACGAAAAGATTGGTTGTTCCATCGTCGTTCGCGGCTTTTACCAAACTGTAAGTATTGGCTAGTTTGTTGACAAAAGTATCCGCATCTCTTAAAAACAACATGACAACATTTTTTAGCAACATAATTTGTAGCAAATAATGTTAGTAACTAAAGCAACCAAATTTTGATAGATTTAGGGATGAATTTGTAATGATGTGTCGCTATGTCTAATTTTTTCATGTAAAATCATAGGTGTTCAGTTTTATATAAATTTATATTTGTTATACCAAAGGGACAATTTTTATTTATATTCATATTACTAAATGCTAGTATAATAATATGTGATCACAGAAGTACAGTAGTAAAATTTTATACTATTTTCTTACTAAAAAGAGATTATTCTTCTAATTTCCTATGTGAGATTCGATCAATAGATATATAACATAGATTTAGATTTCGTTTTAATTTTCATAAAGTCACTTTAATTGGTTTACGTCAATTTTGTGTTACACTTTAATGTGAGTTATTTTCTTAAATAACATGTTTTTTTTTCGAAGTAAAAATTACATGTTATAAGTTACAAGAGTATTTTCAACAAATTAATTGATCCATTTTTTTAATTAGCATGTTAGTCACCAGTTTTGTGTTATCTTCTCAAATAACATGTTTTTTTCTAAGAAAAAGCTACATGTTACAACTTACAAGGGTATTTTCAACAAATTATTTGATCCATTTTTTTAATTAGCATGTTAGTCACCAGGTTCGTGTTGTTTCACCACACCAAAAAACCATTTCTTATCATAATTATAAAAGATATATTTGTCACGTTCAGAAGAATACTTTTCGTCGTGATGTGATATAGACCCTCTTCTTACGGCTCTATAAAAACAATTCCACACACAACTCTCTTCTCTAAAAAAACATACTAAACCATCCCATACGTACACTTTCTATTTCTCTCTCTCAAGAAGATCATGTCAGGCGTGTGGGTGTTCAAGAACGGAGTGATAAGGCTTGTGGAGAACCCTAACCAGTCAGGAGCCGACACACACAGCCGAAGGAAAGTGATGGTCTATTTACCGACAGGAGAAGTGGTCTCATCTTACTCGACGCTCGGACAGATCCTCCAGGGTCTTGGGTGGGAGAGATACTTTGGCGGTGGCGACGCAGACCTCCTCCAATTCCACAAACGCTCATCCATTGATCTCATCTCTCTTCCTAAAGATTTCACCAAATTCAATTCCGTTTACATGTACGATATCGTCGTCAAGAACCCTAACTACTTTCACGTCCGAGACTCCCATTGAAACTTTTTTTTTTGTTTTTTGTGTTTTGTGTGTGTGTTGTTTGGTTTAACAATTTGGTGTTTTTTTTTGGGTTTCTATTTTTAGTTGCATGTGCATGTTTTATTTGTTGCTGACGTTAAAAGTTGTGTAATTGTGTATGTAATCGTGGCTTGATGAAAGTTGAGATTAAGAAGAGTGTTGGATCAGGGAGAATTCAATTAGAGGTTTTAAATTCATTAATTCTTATTCGATGATGACCGGTTGTATCGATCGTCACAACATTGTTGAAAAAATATTCTCTTTGGCTCAGTTGATCTCAAAAGCATTTCTAATTCTATTTTTAATCCAAAACCCATATGTAGAGATGATATTTTTTTCTATTAAAGTTGTACTGACGAAATGGTGACGTGACAGATAAATTTCATATTCAAGTATATGTCGTTAAGATATCTCAAATCCACATTTAGGTTGAGCTTTCAGATTTATAAAAATATCGTTCGTCCAAAAAAAAATAAATCATGGGAAAATTTGTCATAATATATCGACTGTACCGAATTGGAAATTTACAACTACAAACTCTATATACCATTTGACAAAGGAAATCTCAAATAGTGCGTCCTGCTTCATATCACTACAATCATAAAATCATGACTTTGTACCTCAAAAAAAAAGAGTGATGCTAATTGAAACAATTCATGGAGGTGCATGTAATGATGATACCCTAATTGTTTAACCAACTATACTTCTTTATGATATGCAATCACATCGTTGACGAGCCTTGTCAAAAACATCCACATAAACGTAAGCAACAAACCACAGGCACAGTGGTTCACGTGAAGTCATGAACAAAGCACTCAGCGAACCTACAAGAAACCGAAACGTGTCTAAAGGGACATTGCATTGAGAAACACTTCCCACCCTCGAGGAGCACTACTCACGTGGCCGAAGCTTTAATATCGTCGACACACACACAATCCCCTATATTGACATAAATAGACATACATGTATAGGGCTATAGGAGTGTTGTCTATGACAAGTATTAGTACGGTGTATATATAGAAGGAAAAAATTCAACAGCGAGGGACATGGATTTGTGGAAGTTCTTCTAATGTATTGTCGACGTGGCATGTTGAAGTCCATAAGAAGTAGGGCTAAGCTAACATAGGCCACTTTGAGAAACTAGTTTAGGAGACATCACATCTTCTTCTGGCCTCATAAAGAAAAGCGTACTGCAGTGTCATGATAAACGATAGGACCTGTCATTACTGAAACATTATTCGATTAACTTGCATTTTATTATACATTTTCCCTATCAATACTACGTTTGACAATAAGTAGCCTGTCTAGACTCATTACCTATGCTTGGACTGAGCCAAAAAAAACCATAGTAATGATATTCCTTTTTGATTTTCATATACGTTTTACTTTTTGGTTATTCATTCAAAGTAAAGCATCCATTATATCTTGACGATATGGGTTTTTTTAAAAAAATTTGTTCTTTTTTAAAAAAAAAAATTGTTCTTGAAAATGTTGTAGTATGGTCTGTGTAATTGTATCTTCCTTTAGTAAATATTTTGTTTTCTACGCGTGGATTAGGTATGATTATTGTTTGATTAACAATTGTTGAGATTAGCAAAAATCAAAACTGGAAGAAAATTGAAAACTTTAGAGAAAAATGTATCAATGCAAATACCCGTTTTCAGGGTTTATTTAATATTGTGTGAATGAGAGAATATTAATACTTAAAACTATATTTATAACGTCCCAAAACTTGATTTCAATAGGATTAGTAAACATATTTATTTTTTATGTCATATATACAATATTTTTTTTATGAATCTTTTTCCTACATTAAAAGAACAACCGTGAATTCAAAACATGTTCTGTTGGATCCGGTCCTATGCGTACGTGACCTTGAAAAAGTATGGTACAAAACATCAATGATATTGACGCTGGACTATTAAACTTGTTTTAAGTTTCCTCGTTTGTATACAATTTCCGTATTTGTAACCAACTCACGGTGGAATGGTTGAAAGATTCATTTATGCGATTTCAATATGATAAATCAGTAACTCCATTATGGACGTTTTCAATAGCAAGAACATCGAATATTTCTCTGGTTTCTGAGATTGATATAGACTTCGGTCTGATTTTCTGGTAGTTATTAATGAAAAGTTAAGTAAGGTAATGGGCTAATTCTTTATTTCCTTTGACCGTTTTCAGCCGATTTGAAGGAGAATGAAGAGTGCAGTAAGAGTATAAATGGAATCAAACTAATTGGTTTGAATTTTCAATTATAATGTTAAATCTGTAAACAGGTGGAAGAAGGAATTTGTCCACCTGGTCTTATTTTCCATTAATTGCCAATTGTGTATAAGTAAAGAAAGAAAAAAATTATGTACAGAGAAGAGATGGCAAGATCGTGGAAGTAGAGACAAGCCCTTTGGTGAGTGTATTTTCTATCAACATGAAAATGGCTGTGGCTGAGATTCAGCAGAGGTTTTGCAGATAGGACACCAATTCTTCATCCGAAGCCACTGTTGTGCGCAGCTCACGTGGTACATATGTTGGCAAGGCAAATTCCCTACTTCATCTCCATCAACATACTCTTCCTACATATTTAACAGAAAACCCTCTTTTGAGTTTCTTTTCTTCTAAATACCTTCAAGCAACCATTTGAGAATTGAGAGTAGACTCAGAGAAGAGAGAATCAACAATATACCTGGCAAATACTGCATTTGACATCATCATCTTTGTTCAGGCAAATGCCACCGGATTCATCTATTGGACGGTAAATGCTTGACTTCAGGCTTTTCAGCAGCGCTTCCTCGCTTAGAGCAGTGCTCACTGTTCCCATTTTTTCCTCCAATGCTAATAGCTCCTGCAAGAATTTTAACTTTCATATCCTCAAAGCCAATTACTTGAACACGACCATAAACTAAATTACATATCAAGTAAGACTAACCTCATACGACATGTTATCAATGTCAAGCCTCATATCTCTATGCTGATCGTGGAAGCTGCTTACACCATTTAATAACAGATTGGTCTCTAAAACAACCAATTGCTGCAAGGGGGAAAAAAAAGCAGAAGAATCGTCAAGATAAAACTCTGAATTCATACATAACTTCTTCATGACAAAGGTCCAAACATCTAAATCACCTCGTATGTAAGCTCTTCGTCTTGTTCAATCCTTTCCAGAGCCAGCAAAACCTGCAACATCGTGAAAAAAGCATTTGAGTTGTGTTACCAAGACGCTGGATAACATAAACATAGCAGGGGCTTATGATTACTACCTCTGCAACTCCATTCATATTATAACGTCTGAAACCATCACGGTTCATCAAAGAGCGAGAAAGGCTGGCTTCTGAAGGGCTTCCAGGGATCATCAAGCTACGTAATCTGCCATTGCTACTGATTGGCCTATTGTAACTATTTGAAGGACTATGCGAAACTTCAGCAGATCTAGAAGGATTGAGATCAGCCCGTTTTGCACGCTGAGGCGCTTGTGAAGTTGTAACCGCTCCAGAAGAACGCCCTGTTCTACCACAAAAACCAGACGATGATCTCCTAGTACTACTTGAAACAACACTGTTGTCCCTAACACTTGGGAGATTTCTGTTCCTCCTAGATTCAGACATGGTGATGCCACTGCCAAGAGAGGATCTCTGATTCTTTACCTCAACCACTGATCTATCCGTCTTATTCCCTCTGCTTGAAGAGCTGCTCTCTCCATCAGAGTTTTTCTTTCTAAATATATTGCTGTTTCTTGTCAGGTTTGAAACGGAAGGAAGAACATCAGAGCCAGTTTTGCACCTCAAGTCTCTCAATCCATTCTTGTTCGCACTAGCTCTTGCTTCTCGGGTGACCAGATCAGGTCTCTTCTGTATGCTTCTGCTTGAACTTCCTGCTTCGGTCACAACTTCTCTAAAGACACTATTTTCAGAATGAGCATTGATAGTGCTTTCTTTGGTCTTTCCACGTGGAAGGGCACGCTCAGTCACGGCTGCCTCGTCATGAACACTGCTACTCTCTAAAGAATCTGTGTCCAAAAGAGAAGATATTTGTCTCCTACCGGTAACTTTGGAGGCCTTTTTCAAGCCACCAAATCCACTCGTACTTCGAGATGAACTCCCTACGGTTTCCTTTCCGTTTGAGATAGATCGAGACGAAAATAAGGTAGATTTTGGTTTGTGATCAATTGGGGTTTCCTTGGTAGAACTTAACCGGGAACTGCAACCGATTCGGCTGCAGATAGGGACACCTTTATCATCTTTCTTCTTCATATTCTCATGCAGAACAAGGCCACTTGCTTTTCGAGGCATAATCTGTCCGGATGTTCTTTTACCCTTAAATCCATCCATGCGTAAAAGACACCCTTACTCTGTAATGACAACAAGCTTATTTCAGATAACTTGGATTCTCTATCTAGAACTGCATCAGGCCTTTAGGAGAGAACATAAAGGAGAACAGAGGAGCACAAAACAACAACAACAAGAAGAAGATAAAAAAACGCTTACGAGAAGAACATATAACTTGATGAACCATAAACATCCGGCTTCAAAGCTAAGTCAGTGATTGTTAAAGAAAACCAAATGAGAGAAAAGAGGGAAGCTAAAGAGAAGACGACCATCCAAGACAAAGAACAACAAAAAAAGAAGGGTCTCGTTTCGATTTACACGGACTTTCCATAAACACGACGAGTTTCCCCGTGATTCAAGCTTCTCCATGAAAAAAAAAAAAAACGAAACTTTAATCAAGAAGGCATATGTAGAGACTATTCTCCCAATCAAATTCAAGAATCAGAACCACACGGACTAGTTCAAGGCTTCAAGCCAAGGGTGAAAAAAAGTAAATTTAAATCGAATAAATTTTTCATTGAATTTACGTAATCATTCAGCGAACAAGCAAATAAATTTAGCAAGATTAAAAATTGAATTCAAAGGAAACATCATCAATCAACAACGATAAAAAAAGTTTTATGGGTTTTCTCTCTTGTGATTACCGTAGCGAAAGAGTGAAAGCAGGGGCGGGAGAGAAAAACCAAAATTCTGGCAATAACTTTTTCAGACAGATATCTCTTCTCCGAAGAAACGTGGAATGAGAGAGATGCGAAGGCGTAATCTTCCAAATCCGTATTTGTAAATATTTTGTGATTAGTATCGGAGAAGAAGAAGAAGAAGTGGCGTAGCAAAGGCGAAACAGCGGTCGGAGTGATCGGATCCGTTGATTTTGGGTTTCGTTGAGTGAAGCCTGAGATGGACGGCTTAGATATATTACGGAGCCTGAGATATTACGAAACGGCACCGTTTCTAATTTGGGTCTCGTGGACGGAATCAATATTATATATTACAATTTTAATCCCTTTTTTGTGTCTACATGAAAAAGGTTGAAAAGTGGTGTTTAGGAAACATAGGATTAATAAAGGGTGGGGAAAATATTAAATTACACCATTAATAGTCGTATAGATATAGATATTTTTTTTTTGTGTTGTGATAGTCGTATGTATTTTTTTTTTGTTGTTGTTGTTGTAATAGTCGTATGTATAGTCATGATGTCAACAAATTATATTGTGAACAAAAAAATTTCGGATTTTTTTTTTTTACGTGAGAGGGAAGGATTACGTAAATTTCATTGTAATTACAAACGGCTTTCACAAATCATACCCATAAGAATTCATAAAGTATTGTTGAGATGATAGTTTCATAATTTCTATTTGGTATCGATATTAAAAGGAGTCGTTTCTGAGATAAATAAAAATAACTATTAAAGGAAAGACGACGTGAGAAGATGCAAATTAGATAGATCCACATCCATGATGGAAACGAAAACATATTAATAAACTTGGAAAGAGAATAATAATATACTGTATAGATAAATAATTAATGGAAGACATCAAAGTCATTGGTTTGTTTATTAATTTAATATTTTTAATCGACCTTTTCAGTGAAAGAAAAGGGAATAATAATGGAAGAGGGAGAAAGATGAGGAGAGGGTTATTGTATGGGCCCAAGTCCAAGCCGGAGCATAATGGGCCCACCGTCTCTATGAAAACGGGGAAATCAGGGGAGCGTGAGGAGCACGCGCCATCACGGCCAGACGTGAGAAAGGGTTATACTTATCTGTAAAATGTCAACTTGAAGAAACAAAGCTTTTAGAATCATCCTCAAGCTGCTATTCTACGTCACACGTCTTTTTCTCGCTGTATGTGTTGCGTATTTATATAGTATTAGTATATATACATCCCTCGTTCTCTCGTACCTAACACCTAGAAGCATGCAAGAAACACATATATAGTTCTCATAAAAACTACTAATATCAATGTTGTTACGTGGAAGTATATACATAACACATATTTTCCCAGGAAAAAATATAACACATATATTTATTCGATTTGAATAAAGATACGAATATTTGTTACAACACCATGGTTGCGCTACACACAATATTTGTATGATTTTGCATTAAGACAAGAATAATTCCCTGGGACATTGCTCTTCCTCTTTTCTTGGTTCACCTAAGTTTCCCAAATATTTCTTGTATCTTGTTTCCTCTCTCTCTCCTTTGCTTTAGGTCTATTTTCATTTTGGTTCTCATTGTAATCCAAATGATGCCCCTTTGGAAGGGGATGGAAATGAAATAAAGATATCCATTAAAATAAAATAAAAACTAAACGTGCGTGTGAAGAAATGTATTCCACGAACTCTATCGATCTAGTTTAATAATTTTATGAATATGTACATCGATAATTTCATAAAGTTATAGTTGATTGTGTTCTTTATAGAAATTACTACTATTGGATTTCTAAAAGATGTTTTGTCTAGGTTTCAGCTAATATATTCTCTTAACGTTTTGATATATCTATACTTATATTTTAAATTTACTAAATTTTCTCTAGGCTTATTCCAAAAACTAGTTATTTCCCTACAAATTAGGATGTTGGTTTGTCACAGTTGAATTAGTAAAGTTCATCATTAAAACTTTAATCGACCATTGTCATTTTGGCATGAGATCTAACATAGAATATTTTCTTTTTGTCAACTTTATATTCTCCAATTTTAATGATTGAGAAAGAGAGAGTGAGTGAGCAAGGAAATGGGATGAGTGGATAACATGTAGATTGATACCGGAAGCGTTCAACGATGGGCTCCATGGGAGTTGAGCAGGCCCATTTTCTCTCTTTTCTTTGTTTGTTTTAAATTAGTATAATTCCTATTTTAGTATGATTTTGTCTAACTCATACGAGTCGTTATGTCGTGTTATTTTATCATGTCAATGACGTGGGAACAATTATTTTACTGACATTGAAACGGTCCAAAACCAAATAGAGAGACAAAGAAACAAAAGACTGGTGTCCTTTATATAAATAGAAACGGCTCAAACTAAAGTCAACGGTTTTCCATAATGACCGGAATCGTTTTATAATGTTAGTTTAGTTTTTGATCTTAGTTTGTTAGGAGATTGATGGCCTCCACTACCATCACCACCCAAGAAATTTCCGAGATTTAAGCTTTGTTTTACAAACACACAAGTAATCGAATCACATCTTATAGAAACCCTAATTTCTTTCCAAGGGTATTCGTTTCCTTGATATACAAGTTTCTCTTTTTTTTTCCTAAAAAAAATCTTTATTTGTTCATCTTCCCTTTGATACACATTCCTCTTGAATTAATGGCAACGACATCAAGCACACCAAAAGCAAAATCGGACAACCAAAACCTAACTAGAACCAGATCTCTTGGTCGAAAACCAAAGCTACCTTCGTCCGTGTCATCAGAAGATGGGTCTGATCAGAAACCGGAGAAGCCTTTGCCAAACTATTTGAAGCCAACAATCAGTTCGAGACCAGATCCAGTCAAGTTCTTGAAGAAAAACAACAATAGTCTTGAAGATAACCAGAAGCTTCTCCGTAGAAGATCTTTTGATCGACCTCCTCCTTCTTTGACTTCGCCTTCTACTTCTTCTTCGCGTATCCAAAAATCCCTCAACGTCTCTCCATCTCGCCCACGAGACAGACCCATGGTTCCAAGAGAGAAACCTGTCACAGCTCTACGCTCTTCATCTTTCCATGGAAGCAGAGGTGTTCCAAGAGGAGGTACTTCTGTGAAATCGCCTCCTGTGGCTCCAAAGAAGAGCGGGTTGAGCAGTAATAGCACTTCCCTGAAGAGCAAAAAGGAAAGTTCTGAAAATGTTACGGCAAAGAAGGCATCAGAGAAAGAGATTTTCTTGGATACTGCTTCTATGTCGTCTGCTCATGAGGATGAAGAGGAGATTGTCAAGGTTGAGGCTGATGTACAAGTTTCTGATGATATAGAAAAGCCCAAAGATGAAAAGGAAAATAAAGAGGTGCAAGTAGAAGTTGTGCATGTCGATGAGTCCGGTGATGAGAATGAGAGAGGTGGACCAACAACGGTTGCTCCCCCTGTTAGGGAAGACATTGTTGTTGCCAAAGAAAATGAAAAAGAAGAAGAAGAAGAAGAAAGATTGATCAATATTGAAGATAAAAACGAAGGGAAACTAGAGGAAATTAAAGAACAAAAGAATAACCAAGAGAACAAGGGTGAACTCGAGGAAGGGGTGAAGAAGGAGATTGATGATTTTGAGACTTCGGAGAAGGTTGACACAAATTCGAAAGAAGTTGAAAGTGTTGAAGAGACTACGGAGGAAAAAGAAGAAGAAGTGAACGAAGAAAGGGAAGTGAAAGAAGAGGAGAAGGAAAAGGTGAAAGAAGAGCAGAAGGAAAAGGTAAAAGAAGAGTTCAAGGAGAAAGTAAAAGAAGAAGAGTCAGGAGAAGGAAAGAAGAAGGAAGTAGTGAAAGGTAAAACGGAATGTTCATCAGCCTACAACGATGTAATAGCAAGTAAGATGCAAGAGAACCCGAGGAAGAACAAAGTTTTGGCTCTTGCTGGAGCTTTTCAAACCGTTATTGACTATGAAACTGCTGCATCTAAGTGATATATATCTTACAGAGATAATAACAACAACAAAAATCAACAATGCCAGTCATTTTTAGCTTTTCATTCCATTCTAATTTTTCTCTGTTTAATTATGAATTGCAATTGTTATAATTTGTCTTCTGAATTGTATGTTTTTCGATTGAACAAAGTTACACGCACCTTATGATATGTTTGAATGGTTTGGATGCATTGGTGTATATATGCAATGACTTTAAAACTAGCTAGCTACTTCAACTCCATGATACTCTTCTATATACAGTATATGAAGCAAAAAGAAGTACAAAGAAGGATAATTAATACTTCGTTGCAAAAACAGAGGATAATTAATATTTGATAGTTTACATCCACTAGATAAGCTTTTTGGTGTGGTTCATAAAAATTCCACGTGGAAGAAGGGGTCATCATAAAGGGTATTTTGTTAGGAATATAGCTACAGATATACGTAATATGCTACTCAGCTTACTAAAATATTTTCACACAACAATTTATGACTTAGAAGGATACAAGTGTTTGGTTCCTTTCCAATGCGGAAGTTTGTCCCACGCACATGAGAGTTGCTGTCAACTTTGACATTTTATTGTAACAAAACAAACACAAATGGCAGGACACAAATTTAGTGAATTTGAATGACACGTGTTCGCTTACGTCCTTAGCCTCTTCTCTCTTTCTTTTTTTTTTCCCAACATTTGTCGGAAAGAGAAGAGATCAAAGAAGCAATCGCTGTTGTGAGTTGTGACAAAAAAAAAAAAAAAATACAAAAGAAGAACAAAAGAAGAGGCTGCACGTCTTGTGTCCGCAACAACATTTTTAATTTTTTCAAGTCCTCAGCAATTACAATTCTTTTAAAGTTCTGATATTTTTCCTTTAATTCTTCACTTTGAGAGATAATGCTTTTTTGACGGATCAATATTGTATAAAGACTCTTTCTTGTACGTAAATTATATTTGAATTTTGATCTGATAACTCTGAAAGAACAATCTTTTTCCTTTAAAAACATTTGAAAGAAGTAATTGAAAATGTCGAAGAGATTTGGGATGTGAAAGAAGAAGTGAGAGATAGTCGAGCGTTGGTTCGTGTCTCCCACTCGAAAGATCAATTGTTTTTGGGACTACATTATCTACCGAATTCATGATAAAATGTACTAAACGCATCAATGTTAATAAACACATGTAATTCATATAGACAATGGTATCATTTTACGATTTTAATTTCTACAGTTCCCATTAGAACTTTAACACTGTAACTATCATCCTTACAATTTTTTTTTTCTTTTTACGAATCCGTTTTAATTTGCCGATCAAACCATTTTGCAAATATATATGCTAATTGGTTCCATTTTTATAATTTTGATTTTATTTTGTGGTTTCAAAGAGTTTAGGAAGTATGCTTATCCATTTATCCCTGAGTCTGGTTTTTTTTTTTGGCATTTATTTATGACAAAGGGATGCATTTCAACTAAATCAATTAATTTACAATTTTACATGCACCATTTTCAAACTTGGGATATTACACCCTCCACATATATGCTTACTTTTCTAGAAAATATCCTCAAAAATATTGAATTGACCTTTTAAAAATAAAAGAAAATAAGCATAAATAGAGAATCGATAATGTGGAGATGGAAAAAGGACAACAAACAGATAAGCTAATAGAAAGGAACAAACACTAACGTAGTTGATTACTTTTCTCCCGTCGACATAATATATAATTAATTTCCCGAATTAAAATAAAAGAAACATTAATTCGCGCGACGAAATAAAATTTATATTTTAGAAAAAGGAAATGAAAAAAAAAAACTATGAACAAAGAAAAATCATAGATTGCATTATTGATCATCTTCTTCCTGCAGATCTGATAGCGCAAAACAACTCCGAGACGTGAAGGCTCTGTTCTTGAACGAGGGTTTCCTCGCAACAACTCCTCTCGCTCCTCGCTCTTCGTCGCTCGATGTTGATTTGTTCTCGTCGAATCCAGATTTCAGATCTTCATCATCTTCCTCGTCATCATCCTCATCTTCGTTTACTGGTAAAAGAGGCATCGATTTAGGGTTTTGCCATGAGTAAAACGATCGTCTTGCCAATTTGTTGCAGATCTGTAACCTTCTCCTTTTATTCAACGGATTCTCTTGCTTTGGAACTTCTTTTACACTCCCGATCTCTCCTAAGTTTCCAAAAGATTTTGATTTACCTTTGTAGTGATTCGATAACCCTCTCCTACAATTAGAAATCAATCAATCAATCATCTTCTTTCACCAAGAAAAAGGCCATTTTTATTTTCACCAATAAAGAGGCCATTTTTAGTTTCAACAAGAAAGATGCCATTTTTAGTAGGAAATGAACTTACTTGCTGGGGAGAGAATCTTCAAGAGAGCTCATTGAGGCCAACCCTCGAAGACCGAGTTCTTTAGATGAAACATCGTCGTTTTCTTCTCCGCTTTCTTCTTCGTCTTCGCTGTCTCCTGGAGTTCCGATCGATGATGAACTCTCCGATGAGTAATCCGCCGTATGTCCTGACCAGATTCCGCTTCCGGGCCGACTCAAACCGCTGCTTCCCTCCTCGTTCGCCGTCTCACCGGAGGAAGAGGAGGAAACTTTCTCCGTCGCCGGTAGATCGTTTCCGTATTCAGAGACCTCGATTGAGAACGTAGGTCCTCCTGCCATCACCTCCATCACCGTATCTCCAGATCACAAATCAGGGATTTTCTTACCGGTTTGGTCGGAAATCACGGTTCAAAAATCTTCACTTTCTGGATTTTCTGTCTCATCAACTTCTGGGTCAGATCCTCAAATCACACAGACTCGGACAATAGTAGCAATCGCCATGGCAGAGAGGAGAGAGATAGAGAGAGAAGGGATAAGGTTTTTATTTATTAAAAATATAATTGAAGGAAGACGATAAGGACGATATAACTTGGATAAAATATATATCCTATTGAAGATTAAATATATAATATCTATGCGTATGCTTATGCGTGATTTCGGACATTAACAACTTTTAATTAACGCCTCTTCCAGTCCTTGCTTCTGATCTCTGTACTTTTAGTATTTTAAAACATTTGAGTTTTTACGAGTTTTCACCAGGAAAAAAAAATGGAAAATTTATAATACACTTGCACAAACCCAAAATGAAACAAGTACACTGAATGTTGTAGATTCTTAGGATTGTAATAATGTAACTAGTTGATTTTAACTTAACCGAACAAATATACTTGAGAAAGTCACTAATAACCGAGAGCCCGAGGCTGCTGCCATCTCTACCATGTGTCCTATCATATATTCGTATATTCTCTTTTGTGGACTATATATTTGTAAGTAAACATATATGTACGTAGGATAGTATTAATAAATATTATATATAAAATTTATTTTTTACCATATTTCATTTCATTACGTAATGCCAGATTTATTTAAACTTATGGTGTATATTTGATGTATTTTTATGTGTCCATTGACTCACAACATCTCCAAAGAGACACCAAATTCCATTTTACTATCTATATTTAGAATACGTTCTAATCATATATTAAATTTATAATTTTAATTAAAATTAAGACTATTTTCTTAAATAACGAAGACCATCTGCATAGTGCATATTGTTCATTTTTGAACTTTAATTAATTGGTCACACAACTCAACTAAGATAAAATTAAACAAAAACACTCAACTAAGATAAAAGGAAAGGAATATTCCTTTTAAATTTGAATTACATAATGAAAGTAGTATATCATATCAAATCCAACGGGGGATAATTACATCCAATATGAATGAACTAATCTTTTGTTGCCGTAACGTTTTAAATTTCACTTTTTTCGGTTTAAAATGTCGTTTCTTTTGCTACCATTTCTAAATATATATTTTTGACATTTATAAGTCTTAGTAATTTTCATATACTCCAAACAATATATTCTTGTTGCTTACAATAAAAGATTTAGAATATTTTTAAAATGTCAAAATCTTTACTTAACCCTGACCCTACATAAGTTTTAGATCTATTTATGGAATGATCCCAATATAAGGCATCACCAGTTTCGTGCCATCCTCGAATATTCATAACTTTATCCTCCATTTTCTGAAAAAGAAAAAATCGACGTAATTCATTCTTTTGTAAAACACAATAGACGGATAGTAAAATTAAATATGTTTGTAAAATAGTGTAATCGTCGTCAAGTATCAAATTCATTTTGTGTTATCAAAAAATAATAAAATCAAATAATTTTCAAATTATTCTGCTAGTATGTAGCGTGCGTCCTTGCTATATTACCATATGAATTCCAAACTTCGTAAAAGTTCATGTTATTCGTAAACAAGTAGTTGCCAAACTTATAATACAAAAATGAATAAAAAAAAATAACAAAGAATAGCAATTAAATGTCAAAGCGAATGGGTTATGAATGTTTAAAAAACAAATTCTTGCGAAATTTATACATTATAAAATTTATTTTCTTTCAGGAGGGAATAGATTTATATTTGTTTAACAATATATAGTAGCTTATGATAAAATTTCAACAAAATGGAACAGTGATTTCTTATTTTCGAATTAAAATATATAAAATATAAAATTATTTTGTTATTAGCTAAATCGTGAGGAAAGATTTAACCGAAACGGAAGTTGTACAACTATTTATCGAATTTACGACTACATACATGTAGGTAGATCAGTAGAAAGGATGATTAACAAATGATGATTAATTCAAAGGTATTTAGAAGAGAGAGAGAGAGAGAGAGAGAGAAAAAAACGTGGTTAATATTAGTTAAAAGTCATAACTAAAAGGTCAAAGCAGGGGGACCAATGGGATGAGGCTCAGGTCTAGAGAAACAGCATCTATTCATCTAATCTTATCTCTTTCTTTCTTAATTTTGAATCTTAACATTTGCTCTTCTCGGTGGCAGAGAATCACCCTCAGATGTTCACATCTCTCTCTCTCCCTTGTTATCGTTTATTTTTTCATTTTTATATCTAAAACTTTTAATCTTGGGAATCAAATGTTTTTTTTTTCTTTGATTATTAACGAGAGAGAAAGAGAAAAGGTGTATTGGTTTGGTTGGCTAAACTTTATAGAAAGGTTAATTATCATGCTTCCACCCACAATCTCATGTTCTAAACAATACAAAACAAATCATTCAGACGCAAGTATCTTCGCATTTTCCAAATATATTTAGTTTTGCTTTATCTATTAATTATATTAGATTCATAAGATTTGCATATCAATTGATGGAAAGTTCAAATCTATGTGATGACTAGATTAAACTATAGACCAAAACTAAGAATAACAATGTCTTTTTCATTTGTAACATACTATAGTTATATTTTTCCCTTTCTGTCAACAAGTAAAGTATGGTTATCTCTCAAACCCAACAAACCAATACAAGAAGTCTGAATTAAAATAAACCAAGCAAGAAAAGAAAAGTAAATATGGCCTTTGTGTATCGAGCCATATAATGAGGCAAGGTTCCGAAGGTCATATGGTTGGCCGTGTGGACCTTGGCTTGTTGGATTATGTTGTGTTTCTCGAAAGTGAGATCATTTGATCCATCTTAATATCATTTTCGTCTAATTAACTATAAATTCTTGAGAATTTATATAAACTAGAATCGGTATAGCTCGAGATGAATGAGGGTGCATAAGAGTCAGAAGTGCCCATGCTAGGAAGCCAGTGTTCAGAGCCAGAATTATGTATTTATCTTCTATTAAAAGCATTTCCAAACAAACTAACCAGATCTCGCAATGGAGAACTCAAATTGGAAATTTTAATCTCTTTGGAGACCTTGTATATTATAATAATATGTATGAGAGTAAAGATGTAGAAGGTGTTTTAGAATGCATGTGGCATCTAGAGTTGTAGATGTGGCTTCTTACTCTGGTGTGGACGTGGCGATAGGTTTATATAGGTAGTTAAAAACATTACAATAATTTCATATTTGGAAAACTAAATGGAAAAACGAAATCGGTTTTAAAGATTCAAGATACACAAAATTATTGAAGACTACTTGCAAACCAATAAAAGGGACATCACGGAAAAAAAAAAAAGAAGAAGAAGAAGGAAATTAAGACAAGAACTTGACAATAAAAGCAGTTGCACATTCGCCTCAGGTTTTACAACCCACGAAACCTTTTTTTTTAAGTAGTATCAGAAACTCTATCTTAAGCAAGTAATATGAATGTCTTTTTAACCAAAAAATTAAAATTAAAATTAAAGCACAAAATTGACTTGTACAATGTTATGGAGTATCACAATTCCTTTCTGCAGCGCATCTATCCACTGATTACGCAGGTGTACCAGTCGTACTTTAGATCATTATCGAAAAACACATTACATGATTTTTTATTGATCTAAAAGCTAGTCATTGTCAAAGTCAAGGCATTACATAACACAAGATCTCACAGTCGAGAAACCCTAATGACAACTCCATGTTGAGGCTCCACAAGCAGTCTGTGGCATGGAGAGTGTTGATATTTGGGAGACAGAGTAAAGCTAAATTTTGACACGATAAGTGAAACAAGCACCTTGACTTCCATCATAGCAAAGTTTTTGCCTACACAAAGTCTTGGTCCGAGGCCAAATGGGATGTATGTTTGAGGGTATTTGCAAGCTTTAGAGATTCCCTCACTGAACCTCTCTGGCTTGAACTCGTTTGCGTCTGCTCCCCAGATCTCAGGGTCTCGGTGTAAGGCAGGAATGAGGGTCCAGATGCACACTCCTTTTGGCACCACTAAGTTTCCGAGTTTTATATCTGTGGCTGCTTCTCTTGCCAGGATTGGTGCTGGTGGATATAGTCTCATTGTTTCTTGGATTACCATTGCCACCTATTTTATTATTTTAATGTATAAAAACAAGAAACTCAACTACCCAAAGTAGAGTTACTGTTAGTTAGGCCTCAGAATTAAACAATATTAAGTAGAGCAGTTCATGACAATTCTATACTCTATTATGTCCCTAATATTATTAGAAATGAAAGTATCACGTTTTCTTTATGAGTATATATATAAAATAATGTTACCGTTTTGAGATTGGGAATGGTTTCAGCGTCGGGAATGCCATTCTTGCAAGAACTCAAGATTTCATCTCTTATTCGAATCTGCCAACTAGGATTGAGAGAGAGGAGCATAAGGCACCAAGACACGGAGACTGCGGTTGACTCATGGCCGGCAAAATAGATGCTCTTGCAATTATCCACCACAAAACGTTTATAGGCTGACTTGTCCCACAAGCTGCCATCGCAGCAGCTATGCATCGCCCCCTCAAGTATCAACTGCAATAGATCCTTCTTCTGAGCTTCCACGCATTCCATTTCCCTCTCCTTCACCGTTTCCCATATCGAAGATTCCAAATTCTTCTCAAGCTCATCAATATTCACATCACCATGCTTCTTACTCTCGAACAACATTTCACTTGCCACCATGTATATATATAGAATTATAGACACTCGATGATATTATTACATTCTTTGAAGAAGAAGAAGAAAAAGTATTAACGACGAGACTCACGTGAAGCCATTGAATCTGAAGAAGACACTGCGTCGAGTGATGGCGATCAAAAGATCCCTAAGCATAGAGAATATCGCTTTGCCTTTGGAAAAAGAGCTCCCAAAGCAAGCCCTAGAGATGACGTCAGCCGAGACATCCTTAAGATCTTCGTCTACTCTTATCTCACATCCCATTTCTCCTCCTCTTTTCACCATCTCTTCCCATTTGCTCAGCATTGACATCGCAGATTCCACCATTAAACCAATCATTCCCTTCACAGATTCAAATAAATGTATAAATATTTCCGAAATGTTGAAGAAAAATTACGTTTTCACGTAGACACAAAAGATCTCCAATATCAGCATGCATAATCAATAAATGCAAAAGTAAGGAGATTAGTCGGACTCGAATACGATCCCTTAATGCTTAAACAAGAGAAGATCAAAATTTAGGACCTTGACTTTGTCGTGGGTAAACTCATGGGCGATGATACGACGTTGATGGGCCCAATGAGGCCCATTAGAGGTGGTAATGCCACTGCCAAGAATGGGCTTGAGGCGTCTGGTGACGTGAGTGATTCTGCCAAGGTTAAGTGTGTTTGTTTGGCTAAGCTCTTTCACCATCTCTGGGTGGTTTATGTAAAGGTGCTGCTTCAGCCCCGTCGAGTATGTATAAATCCTCCCTTCATTATAGTTTATTAACCGTTTCATATTGTAAATAATTTACTCTCGGAAAATAATTACAGGTAAATAGCTGATGAATAATAAACCGAACCAAAATCAAACTGTCAAATTTTGTTCAACTTTTTCCAAACCCAAATCGGAATCATCAACAACAATTTGTTTTTTTTTTGGGGTCAGATTAAATAGAGTAAATCCTGTATATATATATAGGTGGACCACATTTCTCTAATTAATTTATATATTGGCTTATATAATTAACATTTATGGTTCATTTGCAAAGAGTTTTGTCTTTTATGACTATGTGTTTTCTTTCTTTTATGGGATATTTTATCCAGTAGTGGATTTTTTCCTTTCTGTAACGTTCCGGTTAATGAATATATAGATCAGACTTGAGAGATGGTTTTTGTAAAGCTGTCTTTTTATGCATGTCCAAGTGAAACGTTCGCATATGACACTTAACATTTTACAAGGTGGACCCTACTAATAAGAACATTAATCTTCGTGCTGGTAATATTTTTTTGTTTTTTAATATGGAAATGTACGAGTAGAAAATTCGTTTGCAAATTAAATACTAGCTAGTAATTTTTTCTTTCTGTCCAAAGTTACAGAAATTGTTCGATGGACATGCATTGGCTGCGGAAGAAAATGGTGTTATGATTTTTCTTTTTAAACTGCGATGATGTATATGAAAAGTTTTCATTAGACATTTCTCTTCTTCTCAGGTCGATAGATCTTTTCCAATTGACCGAGTCCATATATATACCGAAAATTGATTTAAAATTAAAATTTTCAAATGTAGATGGTATCAAAAATTGAATTCAACAAAAAAGTAGTTCATATCAGTTTTTGATAGGATTTATATGGATTCTGCATGTTTTCAATTTTTAGTGATTTTTTTTGTGTGATATGCCATAGACTATATCTATACACATATGCATTTGTATACCTGTATTAACCGATGTGACGAGATTCGAAAACAAAAGACTAGGACATATATATCCTTAGTTTAAATTAGTGCCACTATTCGGATTTAAACCCAATATATAGAGAATAAAATGCATGTCGCCGATTAAAGAATATAAAATTTTCAAAAACGAACCGTATTGTTTTCGCCAGTGTTCGAAATAGGGAAAGAGAGAAGAAGAATAGTCATGAGAAATGATGTTATCGCCAGAATAGTGTTTAGCCTCTGACTGGATCCTCTGCATCTCGGACGCATTGCCGTTAAAGATCGACGGTGGAGGACCCTTCACGCCTTGCACCTTTAGACTCCTCCGCATCCTCCATTGCTCCGCCACCGCTCTACCGTACACATGATATCCTACGCCGACGATTCCTACAACAACTATCCACCAAATTGCATTCACCGTCTGAACAGCCAAACTCTCCATTTTTTTTTCTGTTTCTTTTGTTTTTTCTTTGTCTATTCAAGTGTTTTTTTAATATACTTTATTACTCTTCTCATCCTTTGGCCATTTATAGTCAAAATCATATTCCATTTGAACAAATAACTCCAAATATCTATTTTATTAATTTTTTATTTATTTAAAAATAACACAGTATTTCTTTAAAAAACGCAATCTCACACTAATTTAAAATAAAATTTCAAATATTTACTTTTATTAATGATTATTTAACTAAAGATAAGATATACTACTAGGCAAGCCAATTAGGCAAATCCGGCACGTCCCGGTCCATAGCTCGTACCGCCCACATATTTTTTTTCGTACGGCCCGGTATGATTTTTATTGGGGTTACATTGAAAGTCCAACATGATCCGAAGTCCGAACATTGCTACAGAGTAAGTGAGAAACCCATTTATTTTCCAGAGTGGTTTTTAAGAAAACAAACATACATTTAACAACATTCCATTTGATGTTCAAAAATAAAAGAAAAAAAAATAACAACACTCCAGTCATCAATGAATCATATTTAACTAATACAAGTTGATTCAACTAAGAAACCGATGATTATTGGTAAACCCTTATTGATGCCTATCTTTTCCGATGCACTTTTATTTACAAAAAAATATTAGTAAAAACAAACACACTATTACTATTATAATAAGGCATTACAATGGAGTAAAAACTAAAATCATAAGCTAGACACCATATGTTATAAGATCTCAATTTTGAATAACCCTGATGATAACACCATGTTGAGGCTCTACAAGCATTCTAAACACCGGAGAGTGCTGATATGTGGGAGATAGCGTAAAACTAAACCTTGACACAATAAGTGACACAAGAACCTTGAGCTCCATCATACCAAAGTTTTTCCCTAGACACAACCTTGTCCCTAGGCCAAATGGGACAAAGGACTGAGGGTATTTACAGGCTTTAGATACTCCTTCGCTGAATCTCTCTGGCCTAAATTCATTTGCATCAGCTCCCCATATCTCGGGGTCTCTATGCAATGTAGGGATCAATGTCCAAATACACACTCCCTTTGGCACGACGAGGCTTCCAAGTTTCGTGTCTGCAAGGGCTTCTCTTGACACAAATGCTGCTGGTGGGTATAACCTCAACGTTTCTTGGATAACCATTGTCACCTATATTTATAAGCAAAAAATGTTAATTAGATTCTGAAATAGGTTGTATATTCATAGAGGTCTAAGAGACTTGACATGATGATGAGAGGCGAGGCTGGAATATTGTTACCGTTTTGAGGTTGGAAATAGAGCTTGCGTCTGGAATACCATTCTTACAAAAACGAAAGACTTCATCACGAATCCGAGTTTGCCAAGAAGGGTTGAGAGCGAGGAGCATAAGACACCAAGAGACAGCAACCGCACTAGTCTCATGGCCGGCGAAATAGATGCTCTTACAGTTGTCCACCACGAAGCTTTTGTAAGATGATGTCTTGTCCTCCAAGTTACCATCGCAACTACTCATAGCCCCTTCTAGTATCAGTTGCATTAGATCTTTCTTGTGATCTCCCGTGCATTCCCTTTCTCTCTCCTTAACAGTTTCCCATATCAAAGACTCCACATGCCTCTCTAGCTCCTCGATCTTCCCGTTCCCATGTTTCTTAGTCCCGAACACAATATCACTTGGAACCATATACGTACACCCATAATTATATTCAACAATAATAAATTCTCTTATGATGTACAGAGAAATAAATGGTTTTAGATCTACTTACGTGAAACCATTGAGGCTGAAGAGGATGTTGCGGTGAGTGATGGCCTTTTGAAGACATCTAAGCTTAGAGAAGATCTCTTTGCCTTTAGAGAAAGAGCTCCCAAAGCATGCTCTAGAGATGACGTCAGCAGAGACAGCTCTTAAGTCTTCGTCCACTCTTATGTCACAAAACATTTCTCCTTCTCTTCTTTTCACCGTCTCTTCCCATTTGCTAAGCATTGGCATCGCCGATTCAACCATCAAACCAACCATTTCCTTGACTTTGTCAAGGAAGAACTCGGGGGCGATGATACGGCGTTGATGGGCCCAATGAGGCCCATTAGAGGTGATGACGCCACGGCCAAGAATGGACTTAAGGCGTTTGGTGACGTAAGAGACTTTGCCGAGATTAAGAGTGTTGGCTTGGTTAAGCTCTTTCACCACCTCCGGGTGGTTCATGTACAAGTGTTGCTTCACCCCCGTCGAGTACGTGTACACCCTCCCTTCATTATCATTATTTTTATTTTCAATAAATTACTTATACAAAATAAATATATACACAATAAAAGTAGAAAACATATTCGTTAGATATTCCCAATAAAAAAAAGATATTGGATAGGTGGGTAAAGAAAACGGCGAGAATCCAAACTTTTAGTAATTCCTCTAAATCAACTGAAGTGATAAATTATAAACGGATCTACGCGTGCTAACGAAGTGACATCAACTTTTTTATTTATTTAACAAATGAAAAGGAATCAAGATGAATCATTTAGAAGGAAAATATATACAATATAAGCTGCTAGCTTTTTATCAAGTAGACCCGATCACAAAACCTTATTGGCTTCTCTAAAGTCTAAACTAGTGAATAAAAAAATCTATTCATAGTTTTATATTCTGCAGCATTAGTTGTCAATCCATGTGTATGTTACATACACACACATATATATATATAGGCTGTATTTTATAGCTGTCAATCAGTAAGCACATATCACATATGCATGAACAAAGTTGGCTTAGCAAAAAAAAAAATGTCTGAATAAATTTCCACGAATGTATGTAACTAATGGCGATATATATATAGACTAGACCGCTTTTCGTTCACTATTTAGAAGATTGATTAATTAGTCTCTGTCGAACGAAAAAAAAATGTTTTGCCCACGCTGACGAATTTTATGAAGATATATTAGTTTGTTTTGTTTTTGCTTCATAGTCTTTATTAATTAAACAAAAAAAAAAAGACAGTATGGAACTCCAAGATAATTAACCATTACAAGAAATTTCACTTAGAAAAGAAGCTAAATGAACCCTTTTATGCAGCTGATCTTTTTAAATCTTTTTTCTTTATCTTACCCAAAAAAAATATATATATATATTTCAAAAAAGACTAATCCGCCTCGTGTGCTATCACTATTCAAAATCCTAAACTATACACTAAGAGATTAGCAGAGAGCATACCGTATTGTTTTCGCCAATGGTCGAGATAGGGAAAGAGAAAAGAAGTGTAGTCATGGGCGATGATAGTATCACCAGAGTAATGTTTAGAGTTAATCATTATCTGTGATTGAATTCTTTGCATCTCTGGTATGTTTCCGCGAAATAACGACGGTTGAGGACCCTTCACACCTTGCATAGTCAGCCTCCTCCGCATCCTCCATTGCTCCGCCATCGCTTTACCGTATACACCAAACCCTAAACCTAACACTCCTATAACTACTACCCACCAAATGGTTTTGGCCATCTCTACCATCAAAATCTCCATTTTTTTTTTTAAATGGCTATAGCTTCTAAAGTCACAACATTGATAGTTTTCTTGCTTTCTTTGGCTATATATAGTCGACCACTTTCCTTTTGACCCAAAAGGTTTTAAATGATTATTATAATGATATAATAGATGTATGTCTATATGTAAAGATGGGAAGTACTTTATTTATATGTGATGAAATAATTGTAATATTCATATAGGTGTAGCCCATGTGTCTATCCATATAGACTAATAGACTATTCATTTAATGTGGCTCTCGATCCATACACTAACATACATACGCATGGAGTTGGGATGAGGCAGAGAATTGTACTCTGCTTTTTGAGGCAAATGTTCAAATAATTAGTGGTCCGTTATGTATGTGTGGTACATATATCTCTAACCAGTTACGTACGTGTAATGACCATGAAAAATATGGAATCTCGTGTACTCTGTTTCTATCTCTTGCTCCCTCTTATTTTGTGTCTGTTGTAATTAATGCGGAGGAGTACAATTGTTTCTCGCCAAAAAAACAAAAAAAAATTGGGATAATGATCGAACTATATACGGGGTTAAATACATTTACAAAAAAAAAAATCAAATTTCTATTTTATGATTACATGTAAGTTAAAACCGGTAATTTGTAACTAAGTAATTTATGACCATAATTTTGCGATGTTTTACTAAGAAAACCACAGTTTCTTGGTCAACTTTGACAGAACTATTAATCAGGAACCAGGTTTTGATCATATTTGTAAAGTTTCAGTCATCTTTCTCGTTACAAATTTGAACCTGAACATAAGGAAGGACTCAACCTACCTTTAAGGCTTAAGGGAACATCTGTTGAATTTGTTTCATGATTGTTATTGTAATTTCTTCACATGTTATAAAACTTCAGACGGTGAATTTTGTTCTTTGTGCTAGACTTTATGGCTATATGTGATTCTTATTGAATTATGCATTTATCAGTTCATTACAGAAAATTTATTTTAATTTCATTTTGATTTGATATAATAAGACTTCATTATGCTTTTTAGTTTTAGAAAATAACTTAATTATGTGTATGCATACCAGCATACGCACACGTAACCTTCTTTAATTGCAATTTGGAGTCTATTATTTTATTGGGGTACGGATAATTATGTAAATTCATTATATATAACGTGCGACCAGATACATACTACGTACATTAATTGAAGATATCAACTCGGGCCGGTCCAGCGTCACTCTTTTGGAATATTATGTGAAAATCGGAAGGTACAAACTCAAATTTATGACAAACTGTTGGGTGACGAACGTGATAGTAATTATTGCAATTTGTTTCTCAAAAGAGATCGCTTTTTTTTTTTTGGGTTGAGTCGAAAGAATATCGTTTGATATGGTGTGTATAATGTTAAATATGTTATACAGACAAAGGGTCTTGTGCGTTTAGTATCAAATAGCTCTGACAGTGAAAAAAAAAATATATTTATGGCCAACTCTGAGATTCATGAGACTTTTCTTTTGGTTGAAAGAGATTTACGAGACTAGAAACAATTAAAATCAGTTTATTTATTATATAGTTTCTTCTTTTCTGAGATTCATGAGACTTTTTCTTTTGGTCGAAAGAGATTTACGAGACTAGAAACAATTAAAATCAGTTTATCTATTATATAGTTTCTTCTTCTTTTTTTTTTTATCAATGATTTAGTGGCTGCTGTAAGAAAAAGAAAAACGATTTAGTGGCCAGATCATCTAATACATATCAAGCTAATTTGGAGGTAAAGCGAATATTATATTTCGTCTCGCTTTTTCTTCATGGCCGGCCCTAGTTAAGTGGTTGTATCTTTTATATTAAACTAGATGATTACCCGTGCAAATGCACAGAATTTTTTTTATATTTTTTAAAATTTTTTTAAATTTTTTTGTAACTTAAATAAACTCAATTCAGAATTTTCTTTTTGAGGTTTGTAAAAAAAAATTGTTATTTAGTTCTTTTAAAAATAAATTTTTATTAGTTTCTTTTTAGCTATTATTTTGTCTTCAAATAAACTAATCAAACACATATTATACTAAACAAAATCTAGAGTTGATAATCCAACAAATACTAAATATAAAATATCAACTTATGGTTATAAACTCAAGAGGCATATCCTATAAATAAATAGATAAATTTATTCGGATTTTCCTATTTTAATTGGTAAAATCTTTCACAAACTCTTCTGAAATCAAAAATGAATATAATGGAGTTCTAACTATGATATCCCAAATTGTATTAAACCCATGACCACTTTTCTTCACCAAGTTTTTAGTATGAAATCACTATAGATCTCACGTTGGAGATAGTCTTCTATGCTAAATCTTTCACTTGAATTTAATCGCTAACTTTAATATTCGTTAACTAAAGCGAATTTAAAAACTATCAGCCCAAATTTTTTCAAAGTGACGTCTTATGGTTCCATAGTTCCATATGCTAAATCTTAAGAACATTTGCATGCTTGAAAAGATTATCGAGGCTTTGGTCACATAATTTCATCCTCTTAACATCGGTTTTACTTTTTGGGATGCTTTATGTAGAAGTAGAAAACTTTGGTACAGAAAATTGGCATATAAACCCAAATCTACAACTTTAGGCAAAGAAACATATAAAAATTGAAAACAAATTAAAAATCCAAATCTTACAATTATGAAATTTGTCTGAAAAGACTATAGAATACGAAAAAATAATTTAAAAATCCAATCTCTACAGTTATGGAATTTTTATTTTATTTAAATTTGTTTCCAAAATAGTTACTTACTTCCATGATTTTAGTTGTATTATTTCTAATTTTTAAAGTTAATAAGATTTATCAGTCCCTTCATTTGGTTACAAATTTTGGTTTTTACGTCTAAAGTTGCGAAGTTTTATGCATAAGAGAAACGTATTGGTAAATTTTACAATTACTTCCCAATAATTTGTTGCATGAGAGAAATACGACTTTTTACAAAACAAAAATTCCTTAGTCATCATTAGTCATTACAACTAAATTTTTTTTTCTTTAAATATGTGGTATTCATCTTCTTGACTCCTTTTAAAGAGATATTATTTGGACTTTTGAGCATACAAATAAATTTGATTACAACAGAACAAATATTTGTGAAGATTTAAAATCTAAAGGCAACATACAAACTAAAAAGATTTGTAATCCAAATGCAGGCTATAAACAAAGAGATGATCATTCACCTTTAGTTCCATAACTTTATGTTGTTGACTTCCTGATATTCATTAAGCTTTTCAGAGATTATGCAGTTGATCTTTTTTTGTTTTCTCAAATTACATTTGATTTTTTGTTGGACTATCTTCATCAATAATCAATAGAATAAGAAGAAGTAATGGTATATTCTCTCTCACTAAAATCAAAGGAGAAGAATTTTAACCAAAATAAAAAATAAAAGAAGATAAAAAGTTTATTGTTCCTAAGAGTTTTTTGAATTGTATTTAATGATTTAGGATTTTGATGTTTTCTAAACAAATTAAAAATCAATAAAATAAATTATAAATTATTTTGTAAATCTGATGTGTCAAAATAATAGATGCTGATGTGTCAAGATTGTGAGACACAACTCAACTTTTATATAATAGATTAAATTTTAGATAGTTATCTTTAATATATTGGATTTAATATCTCGTTGGTATGTGAAAACAAATCTAGATGAACTAATCAAATATGTTAAAAAGTCAAAAGAATGCAATAGACAAAAGATATCAGATAATATATGCATAAGCCGTATAAATTTTGAACATATCCTCTTGTGCTTTAAAGATCTTGAGGAACAGTAAAACAATATATGTGAAGAAAAGAAATTATGGTCAATTCCATATTCTATTCAATTAGCAGTGTTTAAGAAGATTATACGCCTTAAGCGTGCGACAATGTTGCATCTAGCGTATAGAATATTATCGGAGGTTATGCGATTTAAATGTTAATGAAATAAATTGGTATTTTATATTATATTTTGTAAAATTAATGAAATACCAGGATTTATAACTAATACATTAATAATAACACCTTATAATAAAAATATTAAAAGATTTTTTCGTAAATTTATTTTCTCCAATTCGGTTAAAAACATTTGTTTGATATTTTTTGGCTTCGTAATATCATAAACTTTTAAAAAATTTAACTTAGGGATATTTAATGTTTTAATATGTGATAATACTTAAAATACATATCTTAAAGGGTTAAAGATTTTTTTTTTCATTTTAACTACAACCTTGTACATATTAAGCACATTTTAATTGTTAAAGTAAAATTCAATTGCAATATATAAGAAAAACTTTTTTCCATTTATATTTTCTGTTTACGTTTATAATTTTCAAAATATAACTAAAAAATAAAAAAAAATTATATTTCAAAAATTTAAATTTAAAATCTTAACGCACAAAAAAACGTTCAAAAGATTTGAAATCTTATGAAAATTTGTAGGTTTTAGCAAGCTTTTTTCTGTAGTCCACACAGACATATAATTGTAAATAAATTTATTTTTTAGCGACATATACTTAAGATACATATATATACGTATATATGCATATATTAGTGGTTGTAATGTTGTCATATATGCTATATCTAACAGGTACTCCTCGTTAACATTCTTGTCTTTATTTGCCTCGTTAAAATACTCGTGGTTGAAGGATCAAGGATAATATGATATAACATTTACTTATTTTAGAATCTATTGAACACTTATAGACTATATGATCAATTTAGACTTCGATCTAAGATCAGATCAATAAAATTATAGTTTTCTATAAAATTACATATAAATGTATAATACACCTTTGTCTATGATGTTGCATGAAGTAATACTTTTGTTTATTAGTTGGAGTAACGTAGAACTGATGTAACGAGCCGAGGATGTTGACTTTTTGTGTGACATTTTTTTTTGGTCGACGATTTTTTTTCTTGTGTGATCAATATGAAATATGCTGGTTGCTGGAGCAATTGGTGATGCCAGATGATGATGACTGAAACATTAATTAGGAAACTTCAATTTGTAGT